TATGAAAATATGTTTCTGTCTTTTATACGAAGTAGACTGAATAAGAATAATAAGATTGAGATGGTTTACAAATATTATATTATTTATGTATGAAAGACATTAATTGATTAGTTTTTGATTTGAAGAGATATTATAACTTTGATATAATTTGTTTAAAATTATTGACGCAAATATAAAATAGACATGAAGACGTTGCATGGTAGTTGTAGTAGATTTAGAAAGTAAATTATACGCTACATCAACAGTGAAATTGAGTAGCCAGTGATGAGTCACTGACCTTCATAGCTGCCTCTGTAACTCGTCCCATCTCCATGTTTGTCACGAGACATAACTGATGTGTTTGGTTGGATACCTTAAAAATCACACATCCCCGTGAAATTTATTTTTGACGCAGCCCACAGCCACTCCAAACACGCCAGAGCCATCGGTGGATCAGCTGGTCTCGTTCAATTCAATGTATATCATGTCCCCGATTTAGTCATAATTAAAGATCAACGCATAGTTTAAACAAAAGAAAATGTCAACATTGATATAACATTTCCAATATAATCTATTATATATTAAATATAACTAATTATGTAATTTTAATATTATTATTATTAATGAAAATTTAACTATGCACATGAATATTATTAAAATATTTAAAATATAATATGTGAAAGATATAATCAATTATATATCACTTACGTCATTCTCACCATATGCAACTAATGCAAAAATGTGTTATAGTTTTACAAAAATGCTTACCCATCTGCATTCCTACAATCTGCCTGTCGTTCCAAACACATCTTAAATTCAGGGATATTACATTAATCAGTTGTTTCATTTATGATGCATTTGTTGTCAACGATGATATAAGATTGAAGAAATGCAATTATTTTAAGTATTTCAGAATAAAAAAATTATAAAACTAAGATAAACAAATTCCGTTGTAAAAAAATAAAAAAGACATGAAATTTGTTTTTTAGACATAATCGATTATATCTAAAAAAAATTAATAATATATTTTTTATTATAATAAATAATAATATTTATAAATAAATAAATTTAACTTTTAATTTATTTTTATTCATTTTTTAATCCAAATAATCTAATTTTTACTTCTTCTTTTTCACTTCTCCAAAATATAATCTTCAATCCAAACAAAACATTAGAGAAGAAACAGAACAAGTCCAACATAAAATGTTTAAAATTTGATTGGTGTTTTTCTATATTAGTTTAAAGAATAGTAAATAAATATTTGAAGACTCAATTCATTATTGGATAGTAGATAATATAATCAGTACTGTCAAAAACTAATAATCCGACCTGATTTAGTTAGACTTTATCAAGTGAAGTAAAAAATTTAATGATTAAGTTTGATCAATATTTTTAAGTGAATTATAATATTTGTTTTACCTGTTAAACCAATAAAATTAATGGACTAATTTTAGTTTGATAAAAAATTATTAAAAAAATTAACATATTTATATCAAAATAAATAAAGATTTGTAAATAAAAAAATATTTTAAGAAAATTTAAACTATATTAATAATTTTTTTAAATATAATAATTTAATATATAAATTATAAGAAAAAAATTATCCCAAAAATAAAAGTTAAAAAGTAATTTTCCATTATTATTATTAATAAATAACTTATTCATCTAAAATAGTAATTAATCTTAATTATTAGATTTCAAAATAAAGTATATGTTATAAATACTTTCTCTTACATATATATTCTTAAAATAGTATTCTTAAAAGTTCTTGTAAAATTAATTTATAATATATATATATATATATATATATATAATAATATAATATCAGTTTTATATTTATTTAATAAATAATTAATTTTATAAAATGGAATGATTTATAAATCTACTAGTCTATCTAAAAGATATAATTTAAATGGGTCAAAAGAAAATAAAATTAATTAAATTTGGGTTGTAGTTTTTTTTGTAATCTGATATATTTTTCAAATATTTTTGTTGATCATCAAGATAAATTTATTTTTGACACGCTTGAATACAATAACGGATAATAAAAATTATATTAAACTAGTTTGAATGGATAGGACTGAATCCATTAGAAAAATAATAAACAATATTAAAAGATTGAAATTTGAAAATTATTAAAAAATATGTAATCGAAAAGGATTATGTATTGGATAATATTATATTTGTTTTTCATTTTACTTAATTATTCATACTTGAACCAAAATATTAATAAAGAACTTATCACTAAAAACTATCACTTTCACAATTATTAAATAATAAATATTTAATTAATTATTTGATTTACATATCAGCCCAATAATCTGACAATTACAACGTATGACTCACGATTAAACCAAATCAAGTAAAATAAGTTCTCTTTTCAAATAATTTAGCTGCTCTCGATCATATTTTATCCACGAGGCTAAAGTCTTAAATTTAAATACTTTGAAAGGGATGATGTACAAATTCTAATAAAATTTTACCTTCTTCTGTGTCCTCTTAATTTCTTACATTATTAAGAATTATCAGATAACATGATAACGATAATGTCATTTTTAAATCATTTCACAAAATTATCTTTAATGAAGTGAGAAAAGATGAATTTATTTTAGTAACTTCAAAACAACTATAACAAAATTTTAAATCTAAGAACTATTATTGAATAAAATTTCTTTGTTAGTTGTTGATTTTCTATCTTTTTCTATTATTATATAGATTTATATAAAGCTTTTGACTTTGTTCTGAACTTTAATTTTCTCTGTTTAATACAATGAGAGCTACCTAAAATTCCAAACACCAATAACAATAATTACGTAAGATATTTCATTAAAGTACATTAATCAATATTGGATTAAAATATCCTCACATAAAGTACATGTTTGTTAAACTCTAAAAAAAAATTATGGAAAATTGGACATAATAAAGAGCACGTTTCCCTTTGGCCAAAAAGGTTTTGGCATATATTTATATAAGTTATTATACTCTTTTTCCAAATTAAAAATATTTTTAATTAAAAAAAATTACTGAATTAGATTTCAACTTTTTTTCTTTTTAAACCATTTCACATATATATGCGACTAAAGAATGAAATATACACCTACCTAATAGATTACAAAACATAATACCAGTAATATTTTATTTTTTTTGTGGTCAACCAATTCTAGTCATTGAATTATGTATAACTATTACATCAATGGCTTGGTTTGTATGAGGTCCACATATATCAGTTGCTGAAGGGAAGTTTTGTTCTTTAAACACAAATAATTGGTATAATACATTATATATAAAATATAAAGTTAAATTAGTTTCTTTGATCTTTAACAATTATCTCTATTTTAAGTTTTAAAGAAAAAATTATAATTATTATAGTTCATTTTGCATTTTATTTAACAAACTATCACTCTTATAAAACTGTAAAAAAAAATGTTTTTTCTCTAGGTGTAACAATCACCTAAACTTAACTTTTGACCGAGTATCTAAAACTCATCAATTTTTAATGGAAACTAAAACTTAAACTAGAAACAAATATAAATAATTATAATTAACATATATAAAGTTCATTATATGTTTTATATATAGAAATTTTAAGAAAATGCTTGCTTAAATGAAAATATGGAAAAAATTAATAACTAATATAATGATAATTATATTAAGATTAAAATTAATTGCTAATTGATTTGAATTCAATTATAAATATCACTGACAAATTACTTTTAAAATAATTAAATTACATAAAATTAAAAATTTGGGATAAGAAGTTTTTTTTAAATTGATTTTTAGAGTAATTTGATATACATAGATATTACTTTATAATTATAATACTATGACTCAAAATTAAAAACAGTATTAGCATTATTCTAATTGTATGACCAATATTTATTTATTGTCACATCTGATGTTCTCTCTATTATATTTCAAGATAAAAAAATAGTGTGTTTCTGTTTTATGTAGATTTTTTTGTAAAGAACATTTAGGAAAGAGATGATGCCTATTTAAGATGATAAAACTCTCCAAATTTAAAGAGTATTAATATTTATCTGGTTCCAAAAGAGTGAGTGAGATTCAAACTTGTCATCTATCATATATAAAATTCTGTATTTTTCAATCAATCTCTTGGGTTTTTTTCTGTTATAAAACATAGTTTGTTTTCTTTGACACAGTATATATTTTTCTTGTATCTTAGCCCAATGTCCTTTTCACCCTATTAATATCGTTATCAGAACTTCTTCTCTGTCTCTCTCTCGTATGCCCTACCTCCATCTTGAATTTCTTTTTTTCTTTTTTGTTTTAAAGTTAACGAAGCTTAATCCTAATTGTTATTCCAGGTTTATCCTTCTTTTTTGATTCATGACCAATATACGCCAGTAAACCAGTGGGGGTAGAAAAAAGAAAAGAAAAGGACAAATAAAAGTAAATAAAATATAAAAATGGCAGATGAGTATAGTTTCTGATGCATAAACCACGATGGATGAAATGTCGTTTTTTTCACTTTATAAATACCCAATTCTTTGGCAACTTTGCTTTTATTTTCTGATATCTCTTCTTCCTCTTCTGCTAAGTGGAAAACAAGAGGAAAAGAAAAAGAAAGAAAAAAGTTTCAAGGGCTAGCTCAAACATCTGTTGTGTCCTTAATTATATTCTCCCTTTGTTTCCTCACCAGGTTAGTTTGCAAAATATTGAAACATCATTTGAAATCCATCCTCAGTGCTTCAACTCTTTTGGGTCAATCAAACCTTTTCAGTCCAAACCCAGATTTGGCAACACAAGCCCTGCTAGATTGCACACTGTGTTACGGGCTCAAATCAAAATTTTCAACTAATGATGTAAAAGTTAGGCTGTGAGGTGTAATGAGATTCCAACTTTAATTTCCTTTTCATAGTCTCCCTAATCACACAAAACTAGTAGAAAAGATCAGAATTTGTTTATGATTTTTACTCTTACATGTATACATGTAACATATGTATGTCCTTATTGTGTGAGCTAAACTATTGATTGTGCTTCACTTGATTCAGGTTGCAAACATGGCTTTTCCAAACCCATCCATGTCAGTTTCTCCACAGCGGAAGATGGGAAGGGGGAAGATTGAGATCAAGCGGATTGAGAACACAACCAATCGCCAAGTTACCTTCTGCAAACGCAGAAACGGCTTGCTCAAGAAAGCATATGAATTATCTGTGCTTTGTGATGCAGAGGTAGCTCTAATCGTCTTCTCTAGCCGTGGCCGTCTCTATGAATATGCTAATAACAGGTATCTTCTTAGCTTTACGAGTTTTTTTTTTTCTTCTCAATTTCTTTCCACATTTTTCTTCCCTTCTCAGAACAACTTTTGAGCCTTTGTTCCCAGTTTTATGTGTTGTGAAGTTGATTACAAATGATCATTTTTGTTTCTTTTTGGGGACTTTGGGTTTAGATTTTTGATTCTGTAAATAGATCTTTTGAAGGATTTGAGCACAAAGAACATAATCATTTTTGTGATGTAGTTGAGATAGAGATTTTCCTCTTTTTATCTCTGTTTCCTGCAACCAAGGATCACTTGTCTTTCTTTACTTCTATTTTGGCCTTTTCCTTCTATGAGCTTTTTTCTGTTCTTTCTCTTCCCCATTTTTATATTTTCTTTTCTGGTTATGATAATTTTCCTAGTTTTTGGTTTGTTGGATACATAGATCTGGTGCAATAGATAGAAATAGAAGCACTATGGTTGTAAGTAGCAACAGGTAAGGATTGGGAAGTTATGCAGGTCTGTGAGATCAGCCACTTCCCCCAACTCCCTCTCCATTCTTGTTAATTTTCTGTTTCCTTTTTCCTCTTTCCCCTTCCATTATTCTCACCTTCTCTCTCTTACACATCTATGGGGCTAAGCTAAGAAGGCCTAAAGCAAAAGCTGTCATGCTTCAATTAGCCCAAACCTTCCATCTTCTTGACACTTCCTTAATAACACGTCAGTTACACATCAACAAAGCACAGTACAAGTTCAAGAATTTTGTCAATATGTCAAATTGAAATAAACTTACAAGGTAAAAAAATAAGAAACTAAATTAGGGTTTGTTAAAGCCCAACACTGGTTTATATCAGATTATGCAGAAAATCTCTTTTCTAGACATTTACAACCAAATCAGCTCAAAAAAGTCACACCTAGATTAAGATTTTCCAGTCCAGATACTTGAACCGAAGTTTCCCCAAATCCCACTTGCACCCACGTGCGAGATCTAACCTAGGTCAAACCCTAATTAGGGTTTTATTAGCAATAGTATGAGTTTGATGATTACACTTATCAGGCAAAAAGAGAAGTTGAAACTCTTTTCTTTTCAGTTTATAAAAATTCCTAAGTAGTAAAAACCGGTCTCAAAGTTCAAATTTCGTTTGGTTGATTTTCCCCTCCTTTTAGGAAATGAGGCTTGGTGAATCTGGTTAGGGTTTTAAGGACTAGTCTAGGATTTGTCTTGGTTGAAAGAATCTTTGGTCACGTCACACATGATTTTTCAGTTCTTGACCCTCTGACAAAAGAGTTTATGTCATGATTCCCATTCCGGGCTCTCTTTCCCTCTTCCATCTGAACCCTAAGTTTTATCTTCTATAGTGGAAACACCCCTCCCTGGGAAAATTTTCTTTCTTTCCCTTGTTTCCTCTTCTCTCTTATTTATTTCTTGGAGTAAAAATTCTTTTACACCGCACAGCAAAAGACAGTGAATGAAGTGATGAGCCAATAAGAGTGACTCAACTGGGCTTATCATAATGTATTTCACCACTGTTGGTACCCCAGACTGGGATTGTCATTTGCTCAATATCTTGCATACATATATCTATGAAAGTAATGGTTTGGGAAGGAAAAAGAAAAGGGTTTCCTAGGCTCAATGAGGAGAGAGAGAGAGAGAGAAAGAGGGGGAACAAAAATATTAAAGATTGAAGTGAGTGAGGTAAATGGTGGCAGAGACAATGTACGACAATTGAGATAGCCAATGGGAGAGTTCTGAGTATTTGGCTTCTTCCATGCAATGGGAAGCGTAAAACTATTGCTGCTGCTACAGCAGAAGCTGAATTGGACGGCTGTGATGTTCACAGATTTTCAGACAGAAAAGACTCAATAATTTAATCATATTTTATTCAATTTATTCGCTTTAGATTTTATTCTAATAAAGTTTGTGTTACATATTATATATAATATATGAATCTTTTCATATTTGAGCCATCAGTTGGTTCATCGAGGTGGATATTTCATTGGGGCTGAGGGTATTAACCATTGTGAAATGGGTTCCCCTCAAGTGGCAGAGAAAAAAATAGCCCTAGAAATAGTTGAACCAATCATATAGTGGGATCCTGTGCCAGCGTGGCAGAGGCAGCCAATCAGTGGCTCGAGGAAATTAAGGTATCAGAGGAAAATGGTTTTCCTATATTTTTTTCTTATAATATTGCAAAGTGATATTTTCATTATTTTAACATTTTATTTTTATCACATCTAATCTGACTTTGACTAGAAGAACAGACTAATGAGATCATTTGACGTTGCCTTTAAAGAGTTGCGTTTAAGGTTCAGTTAACTGAGAGAGTTGGATGATTTGACCCTCAACCAGAGGACTATTTTCTGCCTAATCTCCAACCTTCTATGCTTAATTTCATATTGAATTGAATACTCAGATAAGATTGACATGACGCCTTCTCTCTTACTTGCTCTATTTTTCTATTTCAATGTCCAAAACGAGAAAATAGGATTAGTCATAGGATTGAAATATGGAAAGACAGGTTTCATGCTTATGTAAGCATTCACCACTAACCGTCAAAATATTGTGAAGGATTAATAAAGAAATAGTACAAGTTTAATTACCGTGACTTCTGATTATTCGGTTGTATATTTTAACGATGAATTAATCAATTCGGTTGTAGATACACCAAAGAAAATGCAACACTAAAGTCGTACATTTCAATCAGAGGACTAATGATCTCCCATTTTGTGTGTGTTTGCTTTAGGTTTTAAAATAATTCTATCCTAATTAACTCCATTAATCAGAATTGGTTAAAAACCACATAGAACCTTCATATATATATTGGACTTTACATTGAATTTTTCATTTGAATCCTATAATTAGGTTTTCTCTAACTCTCTCTTCCTCAAACATATCTAGGAAATAGTCATTTCCTCCGATGTAGATAACCAAAGTGAGTATTATAGACACCGAGTTTAAACAAGAGAACACTGAAAGCAATGAAAACCTCATCGATTTCCCAACTAAGCACTCATGTGGGGTGCTAATTTAAAAATGCTATAAAAAAATGTACAATTTAAGGTCTCACTTTCTCAGTCTTTCTATTTAACTACTTACTGAAAAGTTTCCTGAGAAACCAAGTCAAAGGAGAAGTAGCTGCATGCTAGTGACTTATAATTATGGCTGCAACTCATGTCCTTCATTTGCCATACAACATACGATGATATAAACTTCTAAGAATTTTATTAGTTCTGGAGCCTAGCTATCGAAGACTTTAATAAAATTATAAAAACCATAGTTTTTTATTATTCCACTAGAAACAATAACTCCCTTGCTAATAATTAAAAAAAAAAAAAAGAGACATAGCTTCTAATGAATTTAACGATGAATTGCTTGCTACATGATTACTAAAACTGAGTTAGCTTACAAACATTTAGCTTGTTAATATACAATGTCAACATGAAGTCTTACTGATGCTATTAATCGTTGCAGTGTGAAAGCTACTATTGAGAGGTACAAAAAAGCGTGTTCAGATTCGTCCGGTGCTGGATCTGCTTCTGAGGCTAATGCTCAGGTATTGCTTGTTCCTTTCTATATATTTTTGGGTGAGAAAAATATTGGACCTATCAATTTGATAAACTATTGCTTGTATCGTTTAGAGCCTAATTAAATAATGACCGCTGTAATTTTATTATATAAACTAATATTTATAACCATGTATGATTTCATATATATTTTCCAGTTTTACCAGCAAGAAGCAGAAAAACTTCGTGCACAAATTAGTAACCTGCAGAATAACAACAGGCAAGTTGAATTGTCTTTTTGATGCACTAGGAAAGAAAATTCTCATTCACGTGAATTCCTAGAACATAGAAAATGTATGAAGGGTTTCAATTTTCAAAATTTGTAAATTAAAAAAAAAAAAATCAAATCATGTAGTTGTTCTCAATTAGTATTAAGCATCCTTATTGATAAGTAACATTATTTAAATTGCAGGCAAATGATGGGTGAGTCTCTGGGCTCTTTGACTGCCAAGGATCTCAAAAACCTGGAGACAAAATTAGAAAAAGGAATTAGTAGGATTCGTTCAAAAAAGGTATCTCTTGTAATGAACAAGTTCTTTCTATAATTTTGAAAGGATAGGTGACTTGATTTATATTATCTGCTAAAACCTGCATTTTTCTGACTCTTTGCTTCTCTCTTTGCTTGTGCTACTCTCCAAACATTAACATCAGAATGAGCTGCTATTTGCTGAAATTGAGTACATGCAGAAGAGGGTAAATATTTATCCTATTTTTATGTTTTCGTTTTTGAAAGTTATATTTGCAATGCATATATTTGTCTTGTCAGTTAGCAGAACTTGATTGGTCCTGAGGGAATGGTTTTGAAAGGAGAATAATATATGGATTTAGTATGTGATTATGCTCTAAGTGGCTTAGTATATTTTAATTTAAGCGAGTCTCTTAATATTCACATTGGATTTCTTTTGTGCTCCGTTCTGTGTGTTTGTTTTATAATTCCTTTTGGTTATATCTTTAGGTTTTTATTAACTTGAACATTCATGGGATTGCAATTATTGGGAGTTCTAGTTTTCAGTCTCATACATGAGGGCCGAGAAATTCCATCAACAGCTTAGGTTAAATGCGTACTATACATGAAGAACAACCTCATATTGCCAGAAAGGGAAAATAAAGGAAGGAACAAACTCATATTGCCAAAAAGAACATACTCATATTTCCCAAAAGGGAAAAAAAGAAGGAAGGAACAAATTGTGACCTGTGTCAACTTGACATTAATTGGATGTATCATAAGTTGACAGGAATCTAATGTGAAGGTTTCGGTAATGATTTTATACAGATGATTGAATATTTTATGAAGATGTTACTATAACTTAGGAGATAAGATACCTTTCATCAAGCCATTTATAAGATATCTGACAGATATCTTTTACCTCCTGTAAAACTAAAGTAGAAAACATTTTCTTTTGTAACTTTATTTGAGGGTATCTAGTTCTTAGATAATTTGTTATCCTTTACCTTTAACATCTTAAAAGTAATTCTAACTATGGCTGTGGTTAGGACAATTACAGAAAAAAAAAAGAAGGATATTGATAAAAGACATCTCATGACACAGTTTACATATATTTTAATCAAACTAAATTATAATTTAGTAAACAAAAACTTAATTAGAAGTTACTAGAATAGCTTAACAAAGACTACAACCTGGGAATAAAGTATGATTAGAATTGTAGGCATATATAAATTGATATGTGCACTATAAACATTGAATTTGATATTTTTACTCATTTCTTAACTGTTAAGGGCATCCAGATTTGTAATGATGTTATTGTGGTGTGTAGAGAGACAAACTAGATTCTAATAAAATATTCATAGTTTTGCGTTTCCATTTTCTTGATCCTTAATGAATGAATTTCAGTAGGCATGCAGTTGACTACAGTCAATTTTGTAACCAAGCATCTAATTTGGTTTAATATCATATGGTTAACAAAAAGAATGATCTCTTCCATATTTGCATTTACCTCACCTTTGCCACCTCTTTTGAATCTGATAAGGTACATTGTTCTTATAAAAAGAAATTGTCCTTCTCGCATTTATCTCGGATTTATTATCTCTTGTCTTCCACAATACTGTTGAAAATTTATATATTGATATATTCATATATATATATATATATATATATATTTATTTATTTATTTGTAAAAAGAACTTAACTATATAATATTATAATATTGATATGTGTATTCAATATTTTGGGTTAATTAAGTTCAAAGGGTACCTTCACCATTTATGAATGTCATCTTCATTTTATTCCAAGTAAAAAATTAAATCAAATGAGTTTTTTTTTTTTTAATGAGAGTTTGAGCGTCTTTTTCTAGTTTTCTCCAAGAGAAAATTTAAATAAAATTGTTGATAGATAGATGGAAAATATAAGATTAATTAGGAAGGTAAAATGAATTGAAAAAATAACTAAAAGTTAAACCAAATATCTCTTCCTTTTTTTCACAGGCTCTTCATTTATCTTTTTTTTTTTAATATTAACATACTTGAGTTAATTTTATATTACAGATATTTGCCTATTTTTACCTCTTTATTAATCTTTTTTTTTTTAACTTATAACTATTTAACGAGAAGTTAAGAAAATTAACTCCAAATCTTATTTTTTTCTCCCATCATTTTTGTCTCCTTTTATTGCTGGTGTCATTTGAAAAGACTTGCTTATTCTGATTGTATGTACCAAGAAATGATGATAATATTTGGTTTGAGCTGTGAGAATGTACATGCACTACCTTTCTCAATTTTGGCATGTACAGAAGTGCGATTAATTTTAGTTTTACAGCTGAAGATTTGAAAAGGGTGTAATCTCTGTAGTATAGTGTAGCCGCATGCAGAACGGAGTTAGAAGAAAATAGCTTATTTATAAATTCAAGTATGAAAACAGAATCCAAGTTTATGTGTCTGACCGAGTCCTGTGTATATCCTAGGTTGTTGGAAGGGAATAAGACAAATGGAAGGAAAGTAAAAGGAAAGGAATGATTGTGAGGAATAGGTTATAGTTTTCCCTTTCTCTTAAGCAAAACCATGGATCTTTAGTTTATTCTATGACAAACTCAAATAATAGGATGATTTGTGTTGCCCTAACCATACACCCAAAAGTTTTGACTATTTGTGGCTTCAATGTTTCTTAACGAAAATGTATATTGCAGGAGATAGACTTGCACAACAACAACCAGCTTCTTCGAGCAAAGGTTTGTTTCTATCTCTTTCTGTCCCTTTTCTACATGTTATCTATGTGCACAATATGTTTGATAAAAGTAGTAATTATGTGCTTCTTGTTGTTGGTTGTGGTGTAGATAGCTGAAAGTGAGAGGAGCCACAGTATGGGTGTGTTGCCTGGAGGAACAAGCTATGACTCCATGCAGTCTCAGCAGCAATTTGACTCTCGTGGCTACTTCCAAGTGACTGGATTACAACCCAATAATCAGTATGCACGACAAGATCAGATGTCCCTTCAATTAGTGTAAGCTTCTCACGCATACTACAAATTCATAATTGTTTTCCTCTAGCAATTAAATCACAAACTATACCTATAAAATTGTTTTAATATTTTTAGTTTTTTAAAATCTGAAATAATTAATTTTGGCATTTAAAAGTTTACTCTAAGGAAGATAAATGATATTACTTTAGAAACTTGGAATTTTTTCAGAAATATTATATATTAACATAACTAGCAGATACTATGTGGAATGACCAGTCGACATTCTATTAAAGACATATAAGTTATTAAGGAGGATCATATTATATTAAGAAAATTAAGAATAAAACTAAAATTTAAAGTTTTTGAAAAATAAAATTTAAAATCCAAACTCACAAATTGCATTGAAATAAAACCATATTGATATTTTTTTTTTATAATTAATAAACGCATGGGATACAGTGATTGTGTGAGTCTCGAATAAATTGGTTTTATGTATTGATACTAAAATGTCCCACTGCCAATTTTGATAATTTAATTTGAACTAGCAGAAATGTTTTAATAGGACTAAAACAAAATACCTACTTCACAAAATAGGTTGGCTTACATATAATTTAGTAACATAATAATTCTGTATATCACAAGCATACCTTTTTTTTTTTTTTGCTTGAATACTTGTTAACAGCATTGATTAGTGGTAACAATTTTTTATGTAAAAAACTAAAAAATCAACGTGTAATTGTTTTTATTTAAATAATAAATGAAGAAGGTAACATTAGGGCAAATTCGAGTATATATTTTGACAGAGAAAACAATATGATTATTTGGCTAATATGTTTCTCTTAGCCAGCTTAAGTGAAAATTTTCCAAAGCAGAAATTGAGTTCTTGATTTAAGAAGTTTTGACCGGATTCCATTTGCACCTATTGGCTGAATCTAGGGACATTTGGTTCACAGTGTTGATTCTAAGTAAACAATGATAATCTAACAAGAGTTTGTGTTTATTTTCTCTGCAGATGAAGTGTTTAGTATTGAGACTTGAGATGTTCTGCTACTTGTAGTTTGCCTTCTAGTATGATAGCAGATGAATGCTAAGGGTAATGTAAGCAGAAGCATGTGCAGGGGATTTAAGCATCCCCTGAGTACTATATATATATATATATTGTAGACTTTCTTAAGACTATTCCTGTATCTATTGTGAAACCATCTCTCCTATGTTAGTATGTGTCCTAAGAGTATGGAGAACACATCTTGACATGTTTTTCAACCTTTATTCACTTTCTATATCATAGGCTTCAACATCTATTCACGAATTTTATTTCTCAACCAAACAACAATATGCAAAACCACCTTAATTCCCAATAAAATCCCTTGCTCTTATACTCGCTACTTGTACTAGTTGATGATGATATATTCTGGAGTGAAGTATATTGTAGTGTGTTTGGATTGATTTCATGATGAGAAATGATGAAGAGACTTCAATTGTTATTCTCTTTTTCTCAGTAGTTGTAAGTGCTTCTTGCCAAGGGAATGGAATTGATGCCTGTTTAATTATGCTAACTAGCAATCTTGATTCTACTTATGTTTGAAATCTTTTGTACTGCTATACATATTTTTTGGATTGGTTGTATGACGGGTTTGCTTTGATTTTGGTTCGTAGGATATAATAATTACCGTTTGTTTTTATTATATATAATAAATAGCACATATAATTTTTTTTCCCTTCAACATATGAACAATTTTAAGGGATAATCTCGTATTCCACTGTACGCCTTCTCCTATATAGAACATTTAACATTATTTTTTATAATTTAAAATATTGTTGAATTTTTATCTAAATTTTAAATCTTGTTAAACTATATTAAATTAAATATATTTTGTTGTGGATTAAATTTAGGGGAAATTGTATTTCAACTCTTTTATATTATCAACAAATTAATAACAATACTCTTTATCTTATTTATACTTGCATTAAAATCATATATGTAAATATTATTATAAATTAATAAATTTAAGTATATATTTTATTTATGTTAAAATAATGCTTAGTAAAAAAATAGAATGTTTTATATCATAATATAATTTATAATTTAGTGATAATAGAACTTTTATGATATTTTTAATATATAATAATTAAACTATTCATTTTTTGTGTATAAAAAAATCTTTATTTTAATATTTTAAAATGTAATTTTGACTTCCATAATTTTTCATTTATATTTTATTTGATATGATATTTCAAATAAATTATAGGAGATGATGTATTTATTAAAATATGAATATATGGGATGTGAAAAGGTAAAGAGAAAATAACTGTTATTTTATTAGAATTTTAATTACAGATTCAGTTCTTTATATTTTTAAAATTTAGAAAATTTAATTCACTATTAATTTGTCATCTAATTGATAATTCAAAAGGCTAAATTATAATTTATATAAGCTACAATAATGCCCATTACTTATTAGCATAAAATATTGACAATAAAGTTTAATTAGAGATTATAGAACATGTTATTTTAACATCTACACAAACATTGTGTGTTAGGAGGGTATTCTCTTCATTTAACAAAAATGTAATTCAATTATATGTGATATGTGCATCCCTGAGACAATTAAAACACATTTTCAACAAATAAAGCTTGGGGTGGAAATGAAGTGCACCTAACAGGAAATACGGTGGCGGTAATGGGCCCGTCCAATTTCTTCAATGGATCCATCATTATCTTGTACCCAATAGCCCAATCCCAATAAAAAAAGGTTTGTTATATTTATTGATTTTTTTGCCCCTAATATATGGTGGTGATTCTTTTAACCATTATCATTTCAACTATTCCTCTGATGGTTGTGAAACAAAAATAATTCAAAACAGTGTCTTATATTTGTTTATAAATTAAAACATATTACATAGAGAATAAACTTGGGTTCATATATGGACGTTTCTTTAAACAATAAATCTATTAAAAATAGTTGGGTTTTCCACTAAGAACTCACACGTAATCTTGCTATTTCAAATTCTAACGACAAGTATAATCAACTTAATTAAATTTTTATTCATAATTTTTTTTAGAATGTGCAAAGTTAATGATCAGAATAAGGATAACTTTGACAACAATACTCATTTGTCATTCTTTTATTTATACGCGGGCCAATATAAATTTAATTTGCACGCACAATAAGAATGCACAAAGAAAAAAATTATAAAATCAAAAGAGAAATAGAAAACGAAGATAAATAGTATTACTAATGGCAATTTATTGATTCTATATACTGTTTTCAAGAGGATAATCAGTGTAACTTTATTTCAGAGGATAATCAGAAACCCAATTCCACAACTTATTCAGTGGCTCTGAGTGAAGTGGTCTCATTTGTGAACTCCAATTCCCTCTTAATTTCATAGTCAACAAGGTGCTTGATATCCATTGGATAAGTGAAGGTTTGATCAGTGATAGAATCAAAAGCTGACATTGCACGGAGTAGGTTCCATGCCTCAGTGGGATGAACATCATCCCAAAACACATAATCACTCCTATTATTGCACGGCTTTTGATCAGGAATACAGCCAAATGGGCAGCAGGGAGCATCAGAAACAGAAAACTCTGAGACACATGGACTATATATGGTTATTTATTATTCTCATTCACCAAAAGCTACCACATTTATCAGGAATCGACACTAAGGTCAGAACATGTATCATAATATAGTGTATGCACATCAGCCATAGACAATATTGCTTTTAATTTAGAGATGTGGACTGAAGAATACGAAAACCAAATTTATTACCATGTGTGTCAATGGCCTTTGGTGCCGTGCCTTTGCAGATGAATTTGGAATCAGCTGAGAACCTGTTATTGAATTGATCCACAAGAGCATTAAGCTTGTTATTAAATTTGAATGCTGCAGAATTCTGCTCTTCAACACAAGATCCATTTGTCCCATACAAATGTTTCACATGTGGAACGCATCCTAAACTGCCTAACCCAGACAACACATACTTTCTTGCTCCAATGTCATGTAAAGCCTGCCCATAGAAATCAAATTGCCCTGCTCAACCATCATATCATAAATGGTGTAGCTTCAATTGAGATGCTACAACTATTATCCAGAAAAAGTTTAATTTCTATGCCTTGTTACTGTAAAATTCTATACTGTTTTCTCTATAAAAAGATATTATTAGATGAAAAAATTAAATCATTTAATGTCTTTATAACTATAAAAACCATTCAATACACTTAAAATACAAAACAAGTATGATTAGTATCATGAGTATGCTAGAGTAGGGTTTAGAATCATTCTTATTTTAATCATTTGTGAAACAGAACACTTAAATGGATACCAGTAAATTCAGGGATAACTCTTCAATTAGAGCTTGTGTATACTGCTCGAGGCTATAAATTCGGCTTGTTGGGTAAAACTGCGGGTTGAAGTAATTGCCAATGTAATCATTGCTGCCTATGTTCACATAATACAAGCATTTTTCAAGGTATTGTTGAGCCAAGTCAGGACTTCCAAGTTTGTTAGCAATTTCAGAAACAATGACTCTGTGATTTGCTAACTGCATTCCCAAGCTGATAGAACCACCCTGCATTGCATTGCGTTAATTTACGTGCATGAGAATTTTAACACAACCACTCTACCATAAACCAATTGAAGATCATGAGCAACTAGAAAGAAATTAGGTTCTGATTTATACAAGATGCGATCCGGTTTCATTGCGTATGCCTGCTCCCCCTGATGCATAGTTCACACCTTTAAGTATGTCTGAACCACTAGTGTTTGCAAAGGGTGGGATGAAATTCTCAAATCCCAGAAGCTGAGCTGCAATTACAGAACTTTAGTCTGTGAATATTTACTGCATCCCAATCCAAAAATTAGACACCCCAAAATTCATAAAATTTGAATTTAAATTTATGATTGCAACACTGAATGCTCAATATCTTAGCACTGTAAAGAAAGGGTGTTTTTTTTCTTTTCTTTTTTTCATTTAAAAAACTAAAAACTGCTTTTTGAAAAGAGTCAACGAAACAGCCCTTACTGATTATGTCAATTTCTGTTCGGCCATTGGTAAATCTTCCGGTTGATCCTGCGGGGAAGTCGATGCCGTAGGGTCTGTAATTACATTTTGCAGAGGTTGGCAGTTCATTATTGTTTCCACTATCAGATAAAGAGTCCCCAAAGATAAAAAGGCAAGGCACTTGGGACACCCCATGGACACCGTATTGAATGCAGTTAGCAGCCAAGAAAAGGAGAAGCATAACCAACAATATGTCACAAGCCATCCCAAAGCTGAGGAATTGATGAGGCAAAAGCGCTTAGATTACGATCCAGGAAATGAGGAATAGATAGGTCTGAGAATGGTGCTAGCACTGAGAGCATCTCTATTTTATTAAATTAGTAGTTGTGCTCAATTATTACAATGTTTGATGGTAGAATGTACTTGGAATTTAGTGAATAGTTTTCTTATTTGATTTGAAACAAGTGGCTAAGATATTTTCAGGAAAATCAGATAAAGTACTGATCTTTTTCTCTTTTGCTTAGAAAAAAAAAATTGAATTTGTGGTGGAAATCTTTGAGCTACTGCCCATGTTGACATGGATCCATGCAACTTCAAACCACCGGATGAAATCGGATGCCAAAGAGAAAATGAAGTTTTGTTGTTCATCTCAAGAGGTGTTATCCACATGGACTTTAAAAATTAACAGGTTTACCGTTGTACCACTCATCTCCATTCATTTACTCTGATTTAAGGTACCACATGTGGGTCTTTCTGTTTTTAATATTACGTTTGGTTAAGACCAAAATATAATAATGAATAAAAAATATGGAAAGTTGTATACTTATATTTTCTATAGAAGGGTAAAAATAAACTAGGATAAATATGCTAGGTAAAAAAATTATGATCTAGGTTAATTTTTTAGAATTTATTTAAGTCACTCTAAATGGACTTATATCATATTAATAGTATATTTATTGATTAATCTGTTATATAAAATAATAATTATTTTAAAAATAAAATAAATATTATTTTATTAAAAAATATATTTAAAATAAATTAATTTGATAATATATTCATAAATTCTATCGTGTTTTGGTTATTTTCTTTATTTACGTTGTTATCGTCATATTTATTTTCATGGATAAATCATTTAAGATAACATATTTGTAGTGTATTTTCAAAATATGAGTCTTATGTTAATAATAAGACTAATTTGTTTATGTAAAAGAAATTTAATTATAAAATTTATGAGATCTACTTGCTAGATGTATTATTAAGTATAATTTTTCATTTATCTATATTGAGTAGAAGGTAAGTATAATTTTTCATTTATCTATATTGAGTAGAAGGGAAGTTGAGAGATAAATAAAATTTTGAATCCTGATTTTTAACTAATTATTAAAAATATTTCAATTACGATATGTTTATAAGCGTGTATTAAAAAGAAAACTAAAGAATGTAAGTAAACATTCCACTCATTTGTAATCGTAAATAATTAATCACGTTGAACTTTTTGTATAATCAATTTAGTATTCAATATCTTATAATCTTTATATTATGCAAATTTTAATTATTTAATATTATTTATTTACTTCTTATTATCAACTATAAATACAAAAGAAATGAATATTTTATAATTTTATAAGATAAATTTTTGTATGATAATATTTTATTATTTTTATTTGATCTAAATAAATTATGAGTTAATTTTGAATAAACAAATGAATAACATATTATTTTTTTCAAAACAAAATAAAAAAATTATATAAATAAAAGATTTTTTATTTTTAATTAGGCAAAAAATAACCCGTTAACGCATTGATCTAATATATATTATTTTTCCAAACAAAGTAAAAAAATAATATAAATAAAAGATATTTTATTTTTAATTAGGTAAAAAATGGTCCGTTAGCCAGTTGGCCTAACATAGGACGAGGCTAAACAAAAAATTTTGGGTTGTTTTAAAATATATGCTAGATTGGATCGTTAGATTTATTTATTTTACTTGGCCTATAGGATCAGGTTGGGTTGAATTGTCCGTTTTGACCGTCCTACTCATATAGGTAAAAATATGATAAAATATCAAATATTAACAATATATCAACCATAACTACTTAAGTCAAAATAATGACCTAATATTTTCTTCTCTTATTCTAAAAATATCTTAATACCTAATTTTAAAAAAAAGATAATAATATAATATTCTTAACATTTTTCTTGCTTTAATATTTATTTATTTGAATTTAATATTCTTACTTTTATTTTGTTTGTCCTCTTTTATACTTTTATCATATTTCTTCTTGTATGAGATCACATCTTATCATTTAATAACTTTTTTCATCAATATATGGTTTTTCTTTATGAATTTCTCTTTTTTATTTCTTTCAAACTTCATAGTGGTATTGTTGATCCTTTAATGAAGATTATAAAATATTTCTTCATCTACATCTTTATTTTCCTCCTTAATATCATGTTTCTTCAAGAAATATTTATCATGTTTTTTCTTTAACTTTTCTTTTATATCTTATATGTAGTCAAATCTTCTTTCATCAAATCTAAAGTAAAATTTTCTTCTTTCATGTGAACTTTAAATATTTCTAAGTTATTTACATATTTAATCACACAAAATTTATATTCAAAAGACACCTCATAACTTTTATCTAATAATTAAACAACACTTCGCAAATTTTGATTAGTATAAGGAACATATAAAACATCAAAAATTAATTTGATATTCAAATGACTTTTAATTATAATTGTTCTCATATCTTTTACATCCATTTGTTTTCCATCACCAATTCTCACTTTAGAAGTAATATATTCATTTAACTTTTTGAAAAGTTCTCAATCATAAGTCATGTGTTTTGTACAACCACTATGTATAAGCTAACTTGTAAATTTGTTAATTGTAGAACATGTTATTGCAATGAGAAGTTCATCTTCTACAACCTTGACGGTTTCTTTTGGTTGTGATTTGTATTTTTTCTACATGTTACAATTAACCATATTTACAACATTTCACATCAAGTCTTTACTAACACTTGTATGAGTGATTTACTTTTCTTGCAATAAGGATAGACAGAGAAGACAAGTAATTTGGTACCTTTGTTATTCTAGGCTTGGAAAGAATTTTTATCATGATGATATAGTAAAGAACCTTCAACCTTCAATAATAACATGATCTCCCTCATCAATCTTTGTTACTCTTGTGCTTGTAAAGTATGTAACACTTCTATCAAAATAATATTAGACAAACCTTTTGTGTTTTCTAATGAAACAATAGATTCATATTTATATGACACAGTTACCAGAATTTTCTCAACTATTCTGAAATTAGAATATTCCTTATTATCTAACAGTTTTATCTTGTTAGTCATACTCAATCATTTGTTTGAGTATTCATTAATTGTTTATGACTCTTGCATCATTTATATCTCAAATTCCATAAGTTTAAAACTTTCATACCTCAAATTTTTTTGTCCCTTTTATATTGGTCTTTCAAATAATCCCAAATTATTTTGAATGACTTTATTGTCATGATTCTAGTAAGGATTATTTGTGAAACACCAACAAATAAACATGATTTAGTTTTTGTCTTCCTCATTTATTCTTTCTCTCTTGAATTTGATTTAAGCTATGGTGAGATTTTCAAATAAATGATCAATTATGTAATGCTCTTTCATAGCTTCCCATAAATCTAATCCTTCAAAATAAGATTGCATTATCACAATTCATAAGTCATAACTTTCAAGTATTAAAAATTAGAATAACAACTTATAAAAAACTTCTTTTTCTTTCTATTTTTTTCATAAGAAGCAAAACGCTTGATACCACTTATGAAAATGTGTAGGATCTTGTATACTTGTATATCTTATATCTCATGTATGTATATATTTTATTCATATAATCTATGTATATATAAAATAAAAATATGATAAAATATCAAATATTAATTTCTTAATATTTCATTTAAATAAAAAATAATAAAAGGGAAATTAAAAGTATCTCATTCAAGAAATAAAAAATATTAAAAAAATGAGTAAAAACAGTATATTCCATCAAATCAAATAATTCAAAATACTCTCATTCTTTATCCCGTCCATTTTTTTTCAAAACTACACAATTTAACCACTGCAATGGTTCCAATTTCCTTTTCATTCCACTGAGGGGCTTAAAATCTCAACTCATTCAACCCATTAAAGGTACGACGATGAGAATGCCGTCTAATAAGAGTTAGACAAGTGATGACTATTTTAAAAATAGTTTTTAATTATTCACAAATATGGTTTCAACCTTATCATTCAATCCACAGAGGCTAGAACCAAGTGGGATAGAATGGATCTAGCTAAGAATCGAAAGTCAAAAGTTCCCTTAGCCTCCATTAATTTCCTCGCCCCCACAATGTTCCCTTCCATCAAACATTTGGTTGGTCCTTCAAAATATGTTTGGAATTGAACTAGTATTTTTGTAATTATTATTATTCAATTGTTATTACATATTAATTAATCCCTCACAAATTGTTCCATTTATTCGGCTATAAATTATATATTATATTATGAGTTTACTTGTTAAATGATAACTCAATTATTTATTTATTTATTTTGCAAATTATATACTCCATCCTTGATTTCGAACAACAAGAAGAACAATTGTGCCTGCATTGCATTGGAGATAAACGTATAGCTCATAAAGTAAAATCCAAGGCAAACTTCCACTCTGTGGTTCAATTCAGTAGTATGCAATTATTTAATGCAAATTCAACTCAAAATTTATTCAGCTCCACATGAACAACTACATGATAACCACAACTTATTCAGTGGCACTAGGTTGCGAAGTAGAGTCATTAGTGAGCTCCAATTCCATTTTAGTGATTTCATAGTCCACAAGGTGCTTGATATCCATTGGATAAGTGTAGGCTGAACCAGTGGTAGAATTATAATATGTTATTGCATTGAGTAGGTTCCATGCCTCAGTGGTGTGGAATGCATCCCAAAACACATAATCATTCCTATTGTTGCACGGCATTTGATCAGGAATACACTCCCCTGATAGCCCCGGTTGGCAGCAAGGAGCAGCCGGAACCAGAAATTCTGAGACATGGTTATATTATATGTACTGAACAACCTTAGTTAAAGACAATAAATTTATTCGAATAAAGAAACCAAAATCATTACCATGTTTATCGCAAAGGTCAATCGCCAATGCTTGAGTGTCTATAAAGATGAACTGGGAATCAGCAGAGAACCCGTTATTGAATTGATCCACTAAAGCTTTAAGCTTGTTATTAAAATTGAATGCAGCAACATTCTGCTCTTCAAGACAAGATCCATTTGTCCCATAGGAATCCATGATACCAGGAGTGCATCCTATAAGGCCCAACCCTGCCAACACATACTTTCTCGCTCCAACTTCATGTAAAGCCTGCCCATAATAGGATATACATTTATTCACGCTCTAATCATTTGTGAATCACAAATTTCAATGGATACCTGTACATGCAGAGATAACTCTTCAATTAGAGCTTGTGTATACTGCTCAGGGCTGTACATGCTGCTTGATGGGTAGAACTGGGGAAGGAAGTAATTGCCCATGTAATCATTGCTACCTATGTCCACATAATACAAGCATTTTTCAAGGTATTGTTGAACCAAGTCAGGACTTCCAAGTCGGGTAGCAATTTCAGAAACTATGACTTTGTGATTTGCGAACTGCATTCCCAAGCTGATAGAACCACCCTGCGTTGCATTGCGTTAATTTACGTGCATGAGAATTTTAACACAAGCACTCTACCATAAAACAATTGAAGATCATGAGCAACTAGAAAGAAACTAGGTTGTGATTTATACAAGATGCGATCCGGTTTCATTGCGTATGCCTGCTCCCCCTGATGCATAGTTCACACCTTTAAGTATGTCTGAACCACTAGTGTTTGCAAAGGGTGGGATGAAATTCTCAAATCCCAGAAGCTGAGCTGCAATTATAGAACTTTAATCTGTGAGTATATGAGATTTGAATTTAAATTTATGATTGCAACACTAAATGCTCAATATTTTAGCACTGTAAAGAAATATTAGTTCTTTTTTATTTAAAAAACTAAAAACTGCTTTTTGAAAAGAGTAAACAAACAGCCCTTACTGATTATGTCAATTGTTGTTTGGCCATTGGTAAATCTTCCAGTTGGCCCAAATGGAAAGTCCACCCCGTAAGGTCTGTAATTAGATTTTGAAGTGGTTGGAAGTTCATTGTTGTTTCCACTATCAGATAAAGAGTCCCCAAAGATAAAAAGGCAAGGTACTTGGGACACCCCATGGACATACTGTTGCATGCAGTTAGCAGGCAAGAAAAGAAAAAACATAACCAACAATGTATTGGTTTCACCAGCCATATCTAAGTACAGCAATGGTTGAAGCAAAAGATGTTTGTTGTAGCTGGGTAGTGTGGTTATGAAGTCTTCTTGACTTATATATTGTGAATCAAAATAAACATACATGATACATGAAGAATGATTGGTTTGGCATGTTTAACACGCAACCTATAAAAACAAAAGGTCTGTAGCAATGAATTGAGTAATATGAAGTTACAGGCTGTGCGCTCCATTATTGCTGTACTTAGAAATACAGGAAAAAATTCAGAGTTTATTTATATAACTTGCTTGACATAAAACATGTGGCTGAGATAGTTCCATACAATCAGATACAATATTGACAAATATGGTGGAATTGTAAAGTAGATACACATACAAAAAATGTTGTGCAAATCATCCATCGACAAGATCATCGTTATAAAACAGAGTCATGCAACCTCTCCATGAAATCTGATATGGGTAACTATCTGCAAAGAGAAGATGGAATTCGATAAGATATTCGTTCACCTCAAGAAGGACCTTGTCTACATGTACATGGCAGTATTAGTCCTTCATCTATAGTCCTTCAAAAGTTGAAGCCCCTTAATCATTTTTTTGTTGGAACAATAAAATACTCCACTTTTTATAACTATATTTATGTTGGTTATTTTCCAATTTTTTACAACTGTTTATATATATATATATATATATATATATATATATATATAATTGACTAAATTCACTGAAACATGATTTATCATCATTAATAAAAAAAACTACTATCAAAATTTGGTAAAAAACAATAATTTGTATTAATTTCAAAAAATAATTGTTAGAAAAAAATTCTAGTTATTACTTATATATCAACAATGTCTTATAGAAATTTTTTAACTAACATAAAAAAAATATATATATATATATATATATATATATTTATTGATCAAAACAATATCCACTTATATTAACTCAAAATTTGATTTGATGTAAACTAAAAAAATCTGTATTTCATATTAATCAAAATTCTAATTAATATCAATTAAAATTAATATTAATCTATATCAAAAATAATATTGATGATATAAAAAAAAAATCATCCCCAATCGACTTTAGACTTTAGTACAAAACAAACCTCATTAACAACAAATATATAAATAGATACAGGTTATTAAGATGAAAATGTAAAAAGAGATATAGATTGAGAAGGGATGATAAAAATTTTAAATTATTTTTTTAAATATAATTTATAATTCACTAATTTTAAATAATAAAATTATTTTTATACTTTTTTTAAGTTTAAATATTGTAATTTTTTTAAAATAATATATTTTATTATAAAATATTTTTAGCTGAAAATAAATTATTCTTGAAAAATAAATTATTACTAGTTCTCTATGTTGTTTATTATAATGGTGTAATTATTTTTTGAATTTATAATAAATTTTAAAAATTTATAATTTGAAATAAATCGTACGCAACAATTTTATAATAAGAAATCATATTTACAATTTTAATATTTTTTTAGAAGAACTTGTAATGCAATATATATATATATATATATATACATATATATATATATATATATATATATAAAGTTGTAACATCTAAATCTTATTCATATAATAATAATAATTATTATTATATTATAATTAATAATAATTTTATATTATAAATAATAAAATAAATAATAATAATTAAATCTATATTATTAATAAAATTAATAATAAATTATTTTATTAATATTATTTTATTATTATTAACACTAAAATAATAGTAATTTTTAGTATATTATTTTATTACTAATATTATTGTTATTTATTATTAATATTATTAGCTTATTATTATTATAATAAACATATAACATCAATTGATTATTATATTTAATAATATTATTAATTATATTAATATAAATACTTATCAATATTATTTATTATTAGTCATAACAAATAATAATAAACAATAATTAATACATTCAATTTTATTAGTTATATAAAATTATTTATAATTAATAATGTAAACTATATATATTTATTATTATTAAATAAAAAATTTAGTAAATAACATAACTAAGTATATCTAAATTATTATTAGTTATAATAAAATTATTTTATTCTATAGATTATAATAATTATTATTAAAATATAATAATCAAATTGATGTTATATGTTTATTATTATAACTAATAATAAGATAATAATATTAATAGTAATGTCAATAAAAATAATATAATAACTATTAACTTTAATAATAATATAAACTGAATTATTATTATTACTATTATTTAATTTTTATTAATAATATTAAAGTATTATTATTAATTATAATAAATTAATAGTTATTATATTATAATAAGTAGTACAGCTTCTTCTTAAAATTAAAAAAAAATTAAAGTCAAACACGACTTATTCAAAATTATAAATTATACAGTGAAAAACCTATATTTTATCTCATATTTTAATATAAGAGAATAATATAAATCTCATCATACGGATGAATGTTTTGCTAGATGGAGGGAAAATAAATAGAAATAAAAGAAAAGTAAGAAAAAGAAATTGTGAGAAATACATTTATTTCACTTCTCTTCTATGTTGTGGATGAAAACTGTAAAAATATATTTAATACTCAGGAACTTGTCATCTTTTTTATCTTTATCAAACTATAATCTATTAAATCACTTTATTATTCATTCTTATACCTTTCAAACTGAGCCAATCATGGGTATATATACTTTAAAGACGGACTTTCTTTCTTTTCTTTTCTTTATTTTATTTTTCTTCTTCTTATTTGAACTCACACACAGAAAGAGTAATTTAAAATTGTCATGTAACATTTATAAACATTGAGGTAATGTGGTAAATATTAGTTTTTATAGATGAGAATGACAAATTTATTATAGAAATTTATAAGAGATTAATATAATAAAAAAAAGTGTTTACAGAGTTAAATTAGTTTATACATGAATTAATTTGTAGAAACTGCTTTATGTTATTTTTCTAGATTTTTATTTTTAATTTGTGTATAGTGATTTAATTTTAATTTAGAAATTAATTTTCACATTTAAAAAATAATTTCATATTTTTTTCACGTGGAAGTTTTTGTTAAAGGTGTTTGACAAACATCTGTGTATAATATATATGGTTTGTCTTATTTAACTTGGCACTTATTAAAGTGAATACAAGAAATTATCATGCATGATGATAAATTATTTAAGGAGACAGTGGTGGTTTGAAGAGGATGATTGCATCAATCTTGAAAAAGAATCTTGATTTGGTTGTATAAAGTTAATGCTACGAGTCGGTTGAGAGACTGTGTGGGATGGAATCCATCATAAAAGACGTATTGATCTCTGTTCGGGCATGGCGTTTCATTAGGAACACACTGTCCATCATCCCTGGTAGGGCAGCAAGCAGCATTGAGAACAGTGAAACCTGAAACACATGCATGCATGGTCAATGATTATTCAGAATGTGATGAAATGACGTAAGTGTAAGAAGTTTATTATACCAAGAGATCCGTCAATGGTTCCCTCTGTGCTGTTTATGAAGATGAATTTGGAATCAGTAAACTTGTTATTGAATGTTTGCACTAGAGCATAGAGCTTTTCGTTGAACAGGAACGCAGCAGCATCAAACTCGTCAACACACATTCCATCTTTCCCCCGTGTAGATATGGCATTTGGAGTGCAGCCTATAAGACCCACCCCAACTAGCACGAATCTTCTTCCACCCATGTTATGCAGTTCCTGTCCGTGTCCAAAGCATATTAGCTAGGGTAGGGTGGTCAAATAATATTGACTCAAAGTTAACCCAAGTTTATAAATAGTTTTCTGTAAAGTTGAAAATTCACGCTTACAAGGATTCTAAACTGCAAAAATTATTATTGCTTTCGGAAGGAAAGAGAGGAATGGAAATAATCATGACGAATGTTGTGATAAAAAAAATATATAACATCTATAACTACATAAAAAACCTTTAGTATAAGAGAAAAAAATAAAATGTCGTAAAAAATAATTATTATAATCTAAAAAGTAATAAAAATATAAGAAAGAAAATATGATATGTAATTAGTGAAAAAAAAGTAAGTATATTAAAATTGAGAGAAAATAAAATAAAATTAAAAAAATAATTATACAGAAAACATAGACACGCATACACTACTAATTGTCTGAATTTCCATCCACGAATAAAAGATATATTAAATTAAACTCCCCTACGATTTTGTTAATTAAGTTTGTTACACCTAAAACATTACATTTTTGTTAATTTGGTTTTTCCTTTTTAATGCTTCTGCTATAAAAAAAATTACTCCTGAATGTTTTCTTTCATTCTGTTGTCGTGATTATAATTTTATTTTTTTATAAAAATCATCACAAGATTATTTAGGTGATATTTTGATATTTAGATATATAATGAAAATTACAATGTTTAAAGAAATTAATCGAGTAGCAAAAATGTTACAATATCATTTCATAAGAACAATGTTTTATGCAGATTTCATTTAGAAAATGAGAAATTGAATAAAATTAGTACAAAATTCTTAAAACTAAATTAAATAAATCAATATTTTTGGGGTTGCCATTGACTTTTTAAAGTAGCTTAATGTTGCTGGGTGGGGTCTAAGCTTGCATTCGGTTCAAGTATTTGTTGCAACCCACCCTACGTGTACGTCATTTACATGAGAAATTAGTCACCTTTTTATTTTTAATTAATTAATATTAAATAATTAAGTAACTTCAAAGCTCGATTCTTTTTTAAACAGAGATGACATATATTCTTTGTTAAAGTAACTATGCAAACATAAATTCTTTGTTAAAGTAACTATGCAAAAGTTGGGTGGGACAATAATAACCTTATAAAATCCTTTTTTATAAATTTTAAATCTATTTTTTTAAATACTTAAAATAATAATTAATATCTATTGTTAGTGTTTCTTTCAATAATAATATAGGTAGAAAAGATCAAGATTAATATTATATGTTCTCTTTTCTTTTATCTATTCTTCTTAAAGTTCTAACTATTCAAATTCAAATAAAGAAATCAGAAGTGATTCATAGTTTTTATTATTTTCAAATAAGCTCTTTTTTAGTTAATCAAATAAGCTGTTGAAAAAAGAAAATAAATTTATTTAATATGCATAAAAATAATAAAGACCAAATTAATAATTTTTATAAAAGAAAAAAAGTCACCACTGTTATTTTCATCAAAATGTATTTTTTAACATATAATTTAATTTACATAAATCTGTTTCTTATTTTATCAATAATTTTATATTTTAAAATCAAAACATTTATCATTATCGAATTGTTGATTGAGAATATTTTGTTACATGTGTGTAATAATAATAAAAAATTCATTACATAAAAAAATAAAAAACAACATATTTCCGATTGTATAACAGTGAAAAAACATTTTTCGTAACTAACCTTAATAATCCCACTAGTTAAAAAAAATCGACAATGAAGGGTAGCCACCATTGTAAAAAAAAATTGAAGAAATCTACTTAACGTGTTGAATAATGGTAATAGAAAAGTGGTGGCGAGAAACTTCCACGTCGACCAAGATATTAACGTGAGAGTTGAATTCTATTACAGTTCATAATAAATAACATATTCAATTAAACTATTTTTATATAATAAATAAAGTCACATAAAATAACAATAATAATAATAATATATACATTTAATTTAAAAAGTATATACAATTATAATTAATATAAATATTAAATTCTAACTCATTAAATTAAAATAACGTAAGTATTTGTGTTTTTACTAATATATGTATATATATATAATAGTAATAGATCTTCTTAAAAAAATCTTCAATAATATCTATGTTGATTTTCTTTTTTTTAAAAGGGGAAAAACATTTTATCAATGTAACTATTGAATTATGCAATATTATCTTGATGTAGTGTAAATTAAATTTGACATAATAAATTATTTAAAATATAACTTTAATTGTTTTACACAATAATCAGTTTGCCTATACATACGTATTATTGAGTATACTTTTTTTTTTATTATTACTATTAGACTTCTTTGAATAGATATCAAAGATTTAGTATAAATATTGACAGTTACAGCAAAGCATTTGTTGATATAATGCATCATCCTCATAAATTCAAAATATTTATATATATAACTAAATTGAAGTAAATGTAGGTAAATAAAGCATTTGTAAATGAAACCAATTTTTAAGGGACACGTGATTTCTCACAAGTCAGGAGGATTCTTAAATGCCTTTGAAACTATAAGAGCCGAAAGAACGTCCAAACTATGCCTAATACTTGATCCCGAAGTTTGATTTCAATTTATAATTACGTATATGCTGCTAAGATTAACCCCACGTCATCAAAGAGAAAGTGAAAAACAAATAAAATTGTAAAATACCTTAATATATTCAGATAACTTGTCTATAAGAATGGTAGTATATTGGTCAAGGGTATAGATTCTGCTTGATAGGTAACTCTCGGGAAGGAAGAAATTGTTTATGTAATCATTGCTGCCGATATTCACGTAATACAAGCATTTGTTAAGGTACTGTTTAGCTCTATCAAAACCTCCAAGTCTTTCATCGATTTCCAAATATATGAGTCTGTGATTATTCAGCTGTTTTCCCAAATAGATATTGTCACCCTGCGTTGTGTAACACTATTTAGTGCCATGCGTGACCATTCAAACACTAATGCTCTAAAATTATATCAACCAGTAAGCAATATATATATAGAGAGAGAGAGAGATGAACGAAGAAAGAAGGATATATATGTAAATGAAAATAGAGTGTATATATTTGATTTATATACTAGACGTTTTCCGCTCTCATAGAGAATTCCAGCTGCTCCGGATGCATAGTTCACACCCTGAAATATGTCTGAGCCCCTGGTGTTTGCATAGGGTGGCATTGGTTTTGCATATCCCAAATATTGGGCTGCAATGGTTCAACGTTAGTGAGCATGGAGTAATAAGAAGATAGAAGTGGGATAAACAAAGTATAAGTTTTTACTTTATTTTATATTTTTTGTGATTGAAAGAGTGGGGAAGTAATAGGATAGAGAATGTTACCAATAAAGTCAACCTGGGTTCTTCCGTTCGTAAATCTTCCAGTAGCGCCTTCTGGGAGGTCGATGCCATATGGATTGTAATTGGCTTTTGCAGCTGTTTGAAGGTTGTTGTTATTTCCATTGTCAGATAGAGAGTCCCCAAAGATAAAAAAGCAAGCCACTTGCGGTTCTCCGTTCACACAATATTGCATGCAATTTGCAACCAATAGAAGAAGAGATACAACCAACAATGCCTTAGTCTTAATTGCCATCTTGGTCTACCAAAAGAGTTTGGGTTATTATGATGGAGTGTGGCTGTTGCAAGATGAAAGGTGCATGAATATATAGGGTTGGTAACCAAGTTGGAATTTATTATTTCAATCAAGTCAAAATGAAGCAATATTGAAGGACAACAAGTTTGGCATGCCTTTCTTGTTTTGAATTTTTATACACCAAAAAAAGGAGACACTCTAGATGACGAATTTGGCAAGTTTGTATTTGTTCATTCTAATAAAACACACATACACACAAGGTGTACAGGTTGTGATAATCTTTTTATATTTAAAGTTTCCCCAATGAACACAAAATATGAAGGTGCGACCTTAAATTTTTATTTGGTGACGATATTTTCACAATTTATTTTTGATACTTAACTAGCCCCTTATAATAATATAACAATAAAAATATACTATAAAAACTATTATTATTATTATTATTATCACTACAAGAAAAAACACATTTAACCATCGAAATTAGCTGATCGAATTTTTTCGTTGCAATCGATTTAATTTTGGTCGCATAATTAGTGACGATTTAGTGATCAACTGCTTTACTTATTGCATTAGCAACCAATTTAGTGATCACTTTAATTCGATACGCAATTAGCAATCGATTTAGCGACTAAGTTAATTCGATCACGTAATTTAGCGATCGATTTAGCCACCAAAATATGATTTGGTTTCACTTTTTTATTTAGCTGATCGAAATAGCGACCAATATTTTATGTCGCAAAATTTCAGATCGCTAAATCGATGGTTGTTCCATACTAAAATAAAAAAATCATTTAGCTAATCGATTTAACGATCGAATTACAAATTGAAATAGTAATCAGAATTAAAATCGATTGCTAATGGAAAAATAGCTGACCAATTGAAATCTAGTCGCTAATGAATATTATTTTTTTATTATATTTAAATTTATTTTTTTATAAATATACTTTAATTGTTTTAGTATATTTTTTACAATTTATTTTTTAAAAGTAATTTAAAAAAAATAATTTAATTTTTAAAATATACTTTAAAAATAAACTTTGGTCTCAATATTAACAAAATGAATTGTAATAAATCAAATTTATTAAAAATTTAAATTGTAATAAATTAAGACTAGAGTGATATTAACTATTCAATACATTGTTTAAGAAAAGTTTAATAACAAATATTCTTTAATTTATTTTTCAATTGAAAATTTCGATTGAAATTAAATTATATTTTAAAAATTTATATTAAAAAAATTAAACACATCAAATTATCACATTTTAATTCCTCATTAACTTAATTAATTAAAAAAATATAATTTTAATCAAATTATTACAATTTTATTTTATAATAATTTATTTTTAATCTAATTTTTAAATTTATTGCTTTATATTAATTACTTAATCATGGTTGTTGTCATGTATAATTGATATACCAAAAAAATTTATATCAATATACATTAGATAATAAATATATTATTTAATTAAACTATTTATAAAAATATATTTATCTTTAGTTAAAATATTTTTTAGTTTAAGTATACTAATTAATATTTTTTATTTTTAACATAATTAATAAAAAAGATTAAAAATTTAAATTAATCTATTTTATAAATACTAATAATAAACCATATTTAAAGTTATTATTAAAAAATCATAAGTAGTTTCAATGGTTGGAGTTTCACCTCCAATTCTAAGGTATTGGGTTCAAATCCTGACAATGACAATAAACCTAATAATAAGTTAAACTTCTAAAAATATAATATAATTAAAAGTTAGGGGATATAAATAATAATTAATTTTGTTATTGATTTAGCGACCAATTTAAATCGGCCGCTATTTTTTTAACTTTTTTAACTTTTTCATTGATTTAGCGATCGATTTAAATCGGTCGCTATTTTTTTAACTTTGTCGATCGATTTATGCATCAATTTGATATGTTAATTTCGGTCGCTATTTTGCGACCGAATAAAATCGGCCGCTATTTTCATGACCGAAATGAAAATCGATCGCTAACACATTAGCGACTTGATTTTTTGCGACGACACATTTCGATCAGCTAAATTCGGTCACTAACTCGATTAGCGATCGATTTTTTGACATTAACGACCCATTTTTTCTGGTCGCTAAAATGCTTTTTTCTTGTAGTGTATTATTATTATAAAAAGGTTATCAAGTATTATATATATAAAAAAAGTTAATTTTTTTAAAATATCATTACTTTTTTTATTTTTACATTTTGCTCCTCTTGTTGAAAAGTAAACACCAAATACGTCCCGCAGATTAATTATTTTGTTTCTTTCTATTTAACACTTGATATATATATATATATATAGAGTGTGTGTGTGAGAGAGAGAGAGGGGATGTGGTGTGTTAAGAAATAATCTTCTGTCTTCCAAAAAAGAAATTATATAAAAATTTATATGTTAAGAAAACTCTTATAGCCAACTTTGATTATTATAATTTTATTTTTCTTATTTTACTCAAATGTTTAGCATTTTAGTTTCTTTCTTACATTTTATTTTATATTATATTATTGCTGCATTTATCTTTTCATTATTGAAATGACCTATTATGTTTATTCTTAAAAAAATTGTAACAAAAAATTAGAATTATGCGCCCTCTAATTACTTAATTTACCAAGATTAAGGAAAGTAGTTATATTAGTTTATAAGAATAAATTTACATTTTTTTCAAATTACTAATATCATTAATACTTTTCTTTCTTTTATTATAAGCCAATACAAAATTTTCTATTTTATAGTTAAACATATTTTATTTTAATAATAACTAATGTGAGAAAAATTATGAATTATAAATCTTAAAAAAAAGAACAAAAAAATAAATTTGAGTCTTATAAATGATGGCAAATATTTTTGATAAAGTATAAAGTTACTTTATTATATAGGTCTTAAACAGAAAAATAAAATATACATAATAAAATAATTCACACAATACTTACATTTGAAAACTTATGATCATTTTAGAAAACATGTTACATTTAAAACACTTGCGATCTTTTTAGAAAAAACACAATGCTTACATTCTTAATAACTTGTGATCCTTTTAGAAAACAACTTGTGGTTTTAAATTTAGGAAAACTTTACTTTAATTTTAATTTAGATAAAATAAATTAAAACAATGAGTCAATCCTAAAACAAATATAATTGTTATTTTTCTTACATGCATGATGATAGTTAAAATTTAATCGACAAGTATTTTTACATAAAAAATAGAGATTATGTTTTGCACCATTTGTTTTTTTAGCACCACTAAACATTACTTTGTCGTCTTCATTTGATGAAATATTCTAAATTTGAAGGATTAACAAATTATTTATTTTTAAGAGACTTAAAACTATCTGTTTTACATTTAAGATTTGAAGAAATCACTTTAAAATTTTGGAAAACTAAAATACTTTGGTCAATATTTTTGTCATTATTTGAATAACAATTAGTGTTATTACTTATCTGAATACGAGGTGAATGTTATTAATCACTTTTTCGAATGTAATATATCATCAATAATAACTAAAAATATTTTTGAGATTTAAGGTATAAAAAAATGTAAATCCTAATTTGAAAGATTAAAAAATTATTTATATTTAAGAAATTAAAAATATATATAAACCTTGTTTTAATTAATAAGCTTAAATTTAATAAAATTATAGATATTTTGGTCGTACATATTAAGGAGTCAAACATTCAGAAGCTATTATAAAATTATATGTTTATCACGTTATGCTATTCTATTTCGTTGTAACTTTTTTTTTCTTTAAAATTTCGTCGGCTAAGACCTCAGTTGCCACATTTTTGAATAAGAATTTGAATACCCTTCAAAGATGATCTTACTTTCTCTCTCCCTCTTTGTCATTATTTAACAATATTTTGGTATCTCATTATAAATTTCGCATCTATATGACTTTTTGTCAAACTTTTAGAAATTGGATTAAAGTGAAAGAAAAAACATGAAAAGATGAAGTGGAGATATAGATACTTATTCTACGTTTCTGGGACCAACCATTCCTTATACATTTATTCAAGGGAGGGAAACTGATTGTACTATGTCGCCTAAACAATTTATTTTTTTACATTTTATTTACAAAAATATATTATAATCCTTTAAAGTTATATATATATATATATATATATATATATTGTTTGAAATTAATTTTCTGACTGAATGCTATATTTCTTTGAAACAATCAGGCTTCATTTCGTAATAAGAAATTAAAGTCTCAAGAAAGAAAAGAAAAAAGAAAAGAAAGATGAAATGGAATAAAAAGGAAAATAAAATAAAATAAAGTGAAATATACGTTTTTTTATTTGAAAAGTATGAAAAAAAATATTTATTTACAAAATAATAAATTAATTAATTAAAATAAATATATATAATTAAAATTTTAATTATATAGTTATTTAATTGATCTTTTAATAAAATCACTTTTTATAAATTAATACATAAAATTAAGATTCTGTTTTTCTAATAATATATATTTTGATTTATAATTATAAAATTAAAAAAAATGAATTTATTAGATGAATAAAATAATACTATATTAAAAAATAAAATATATTAGATTATTCATTTTATTATAATCAATTTCATATCTATCATATTATACTAAAATAACATAATTAAAAGACATCCATACATATAAATTGAAATGATATAAATATAAAAAAATAATTAATTATTTAAGAAAATAATATTTATTTTACATTTTTCACTAATTAAGGTATATGAGTTACTGTAGGAAATTATATACCTCTTTTTTTTTTAACCAAACAAGACAAGTACTTTATTTTGCCTCATTTATCTGAATTTGTAAATGAAGAGACCCTCTAATGTATGAGATTATTTTTAAGAAATAATATTTTCTTTTAAAATAACCTTTGAAATAATCTTAACTAAAAGTTTTGCAAAGACAAAATTCTTATAATAATATCTGCCTTTTAATATTCAAACAACAAATACCAGGGATTGATTTTTTTACGGACTTAATTGAATTTTTCGGGAATATGAGAAACTTATTTCTCCTCAAATATGTTTGGCAGATATTTATTATTTTTTTCACATTATATCTATTAAAATAAAATTATAAAAATTGTAAAATAAGATAAAAGTGGGGACTTGTTAATATATATATATATATATAATCCATGAACATCGATTGTTTTTAAACATCTAAACAACATTTATAATTTTTCTCTCTTTCTGTATTACATCATATAGTCTATTATGTATTTTTCTTCTCTCACAACTTATTATTTGGATGTTATAATAAATCATTTTCTTATATATAAATTAAAATAAATACGAAGATATTCAATTTACATTTTCGGAAATGTGTCATATATTGAATAATTTCTTTTAAGTTATTTGAAATTATATTTTTTGTTTGTTTTAGGTATTTTAAGTGACTTTTAAAAACTAATAATTATAATACGTACTAATATTTATCTATTCAATAAACATTTATTTCTTATTTATTTGGACAATGATGGTTCAGTCAGCAGCAGAAGGTTTTTCACGATAAATGGATACAAATTAACCACGCATGTCAACCAAATTTTTGCTGAATTTATTTTAAACTATTCAACTATTTTGTAAATGCTTTGTTGAACTTGAATGCTTACATTGAGTATGAAAAACAGAAATTGATAGTAATTATTTGATTAAAAATGGTATCTTTCATAATATAGGGAGAAAGTAACAGATGTAAATGAAAGAGAGAAAATATGAGATACAAATAAAATGTTATTTTAATTATTTTTTTGGTAATTTTTTAATAATAATAATAATAACAACTATTATTATTATTATTATTATTATTATTATTATTATTATTATTATTATTAGACTCTATTTTTTATTACAGGGGCAAGGGACTGTCCACTCTACATCTAGACTCTATATTTTTCTTTATAGCTATCTAAACTCTAAATTTTATTATTTGTACGAAAATCACACGTCAATTTTGTACACCTTAACATGGGTAAAAAGACGTGGAATATATATAGACACATTTTTAAAATATTTCAACAAAAAAAATGAAAAATATATCTTTAAAGTTAAAATATAATTTATGTATAAATTAAAAATAAAAATTTAGGAAAACTAGATAACATATTTCTAGAAATTATTTTGTATTTTATAAAATATATTGTTTCATTTTTTTATTTTCTCTCTTATAAATCTTTACTAAAAAGTAATTTAAAAATGGCTTAAAATAAGTTTGATTTATTTATATATCTATAGTTTGAAGAATTAAGTAATACTAAGATCCACAAGCGATTTTTCTTAATCGACCTAATTTGTTGTTAGTCAACTATGGAAAGTTTAAAGTAAAATAAAATTTCATATACGACAAATACAGTGAAAGCTTTTCAAAATTAATTTATTGATATATTTGATCGCAGCACGCAAGTCCTTGAATAGTTAAAAAATATTATTAAACTTAAACAATGCATCTAAAGTACGATAGAGAAAAATAAGAGTTGCACAATAGCAAAGGTAAAATAAAACAAGCTATTACACGTACTTTTTCTTTTTCATAACATTAATGTCAAATATTTATAAGTTTTTTCAATGAATTTCTTTCTCCAACACTTTCTTTATTTTTTTTTATTTACGATGTATGCGTAATATGTTAGATGTACATTAAACAATATCAGTATACATATCAAACCATTGTTTTAACCAGGAAATTAGACAAAAATTGTTAACAAGGTCAAATTATTTGTGACCATGATAAGTCAGATTAGAATAAAGCCTTGAGATAACGTTTACGAAGATGTATAGTGATGGACTCTTGGCCCACTTAAATAAACGCGGCCAGGATTTTTATTATTATTTTTTTAAGTAAAGCCTATTAAAGATTAAATTTGGCTTGCTTCCTGCACCCGATAATTTTTCTCATCACCTTTATATTCCAAGTTAAATATTTAAAATATTCTTCCGATAATTTTATTTTTTACCATAACTTCTTATACAATTTCTGCATCTCCAACCCTCAAAATCTCCATCCTTTAACTATATTAATTTTTTGTTGTGTTCATTGAAAGTATTTTCTAACAATTAAAGTTAAATAATAATTAATATTATATATGAATTATATGTTCTTGCACTCAAATTATTCAATTTAAAATAATATTATGAAAATAATGTTGAATTCTACAAAAGCTAATCCAAAACCGTATTTCAGACTAGGTGTCCTGGAATGTATTTCTGGAAAGGTCAATCCAAAAATGTATTTTAAAGTGGGTGTTTTAGAATGTGTTTCCAAAAAAGTCAATCCGGATATACATTCTAATTTGACTTCTTCATAAACACATTATGGAATGAGTGTTTTGGGATGTGTTTCTTAAAAAACTTTTCTAGAAACACATTCTAAATTGGGTGTTCCAAAATACATTTTTGAAAAAATCTTTTAGAAATACATTCTAAATTGAGTATTTCAGAATATGTTTATAGAAAGTATTCTCGGGAACGTATTTTAGATTAGGTGTTCTGAAATACATTTATGAAAAATTCTTTTTGAAAACTTATTCGGGATAGATGTTCTAAAAATGTATTTTAAATTATTTTTCTAGAATGCAATTCTAAAAAAGCCTTTTAAGAAATGTATTCCTGATAAATATATTTCTAAAAATATCAATCCAAATTATATTCTGAAAATGAAGATAAATATAAAGATAAAATAAAATTTAATTTAATTATAGGATAGAGGAAGAAAATATGGGATACAGCAACAGTCTTCGGTATAATGTGACATAGCCTTAGATGAAATAGTTCACAGGAAAAAAATTGTCGGCTTCAGTATGGGGCTCTCGGCCCATTAATTTTTTTATTGCAAGAAATATAATTTTATAATTACTGATCGAAATAAAAATTCTATACATAGTTAAGTAATTAATTTGACATGTAGAAAATAACTTTTATATTGGATTTGAACATAAGATCTTGGCACATGAAATTACTAGGAAAAGACTTTTTTTACTTGCTCCAATGCCCATTTTAAGAATTGATAAATTTCATTGAAGTTTTAAATAAATTAATAAGAGAACAATGATTTAGAATAAAAAATAAACAATTTTTAAGTATATATAAATATATATATATATATATATATATATATATATATATATTATCGATCCGCATTTCTTTTTTAAAAATAAAATTTTGATAGAAGTAAATTTAAACTTTAATATAAATAATATTTTTAATATGGTGATTGATTTTAATTTTAATAATATTATCTTGAAGAATTTAAAATTAGAAGATTGACAATATTATTTATAAAGATTAAACAAAAAATGACATGTCACCACAATCTCTTAACTCTTGACGGGAAGGTTTATTCTGATATAACTTTTAACCATTTTTATTTAACTCCAATAGTTACATGATTGAAGACTGAAGTTCAATAATAATTTAATTTATTTATATTTTTTAATTAATAGAGACACATTTTAAAATAAAATCAAAATAAAATAAAATTTGATGTTCAAAACAAATAATATTCGTGATTGATTTTATCCTTAACATGACCATATTTAACATATTTGAGATTAAAACATTAATTTCTTATTTATAATAATACACAAGAAAGTCAACTATCTCTGCCTATATTTTCTGTAAATTCAAATTATTAAATGTTATTAGGTTTTCACTATTATGTCAAAAGAAATCCAGCCTTATACCTACGGATAATACCGTAGGTATAATATCCGTAGGTAATGGATAATTACCTACGGATAAGTTCATGGTAATATCAGTAGGTAATGTTATTCTACGGATTTTTATCCGTGGGTAATATCGCTAGGTAATGTAAAATTTATCTACTGGATTTATATCCGTAGGTAATATTCAGTAGGTAATAGGGTTTTTTTTGTAGTGTTTTATTTCTTCCTCTTTGTTATGCTTTCTACTATTTTAGTCCCATTTTCTCTCTTTTTTTGTTGGATTAATTGAAGAAAAATAAATCGAAGTTTAAGACTAATTTGGGAAAGTATTAATTATTTTTAAAATTTTATTTATTGTTTTTATTTTTTAAAGATAGTTTTTATTTTCAAATTATATAGATTTTAAAAACTTGTTTGATTTTATTTTCTATTCATTTTGCAATTTGTTGTTTTAGGTCACTAATAGTCCTTTTGTTTTCACTATTTCTTATAGTGTAGTTTTTTTGTTTACTAATAATGAAATTGTGTTTTTTTAAATCCTTGAAACATCTCACTGTTCCACTCCTGATATACAGCTTAATAAGATTCCATTTGCATTTGGGACTTAGTTTTGTTATTTTAATCTTATTGTTCTGTTTCTGCAGTGAAAAAAAGAGTCACACGCTATGCTATTCTGAGATACGCTAGTATCAATTATCTTTTCTTATTACTACAATATATGCACTGTATTTGTAACTCATAATAGCTTTTGAGTCTATAATATTTTACCCTATTTTAATATTTTTTGTCAAGTTCTTCTAGCTTCCACTAAAACATAATAAAATCTCTTACCTCTGAGTGTCTGAGAAATTTAACACTCCAGGAACAATTTTGTGTGTGTGTGAAAATTCTCCATTATTATTATATAATAAATGATATAGACTAGAGAGTATATAAATAAACACAACATGTATTATACAAACTACTGTATGAATTATTATACACACACACACACACACACACACATATATATATATATATATATATATATATATATATATATATATATATATATATATATATATCATTTCCCATCTTCCATTGGTAGTGATGTTTAGTAAATAAGGAGTGTGACTAACATAATTATAAAAAACATGTCAGATAGTATGGTGCCTAGGACTTCTCAATTATTTAAGGATGGGCCATAGTTTGCCCTAACTGATCAGGACTGAAAAAGGGTATCATTTGCTCTTTGTGCAGTGATTCGGTTGGCAGATTCGGTCTGATGGAATCCATCCCAATACAAGTATTCAGTTCTATTCCCGCATGGTGTTCCATTTTGAATGCACGACATATTTAGCAGTGTTGGGCAGCAAGAAGTATTCGCAAAAGTGAAACCTGAAACCCATGAATAATTTTGCAAGACATTCATTCAACTGTTTTACTTGTAACCAGAAGTGGAATGAAGAGTAAGAAAACGAAATGTATACCAGGGATTTCGCCTGTGGCGTTTACAAACATGAATTTGGCATCAGCAGATAAGTTGTTAGTATTGAATCGCTCCAATTGGGATTTGAGCTTTTCGTCGAAAGTATAAGCATCATCGGTCAGATTTTCAGCACAACCTCCATTTCTCCCATACGTTACGTAGCTCTGGAATATGGAGTGCAGCCTATAGAACCAAGCCCAAAGACGAGGAGTTTTCTTGCCTCATACTCGTCATGCAGTGTCTGTCCCCCCATGAAACCATGTTTTTATAATATATATATATATATATATATATATATATATATATATATATATATATATATTTCATCATATTAGAGTGGTCAAACTAAAGTAATTTATTAGTTGGATTCAACCCTCTCAATATATTTTATCATATATAGCTTAATAGTAGTATATATTACTTTTTATACCCATGAGATAATTAGTGAGAAAAATGAGAAACAAATAGAAATATGTAAAATACCTTCATAGATTGAGAGTAGCGGCTAACAAGATATTCCGCAAATTGATCATTGCTGCTTATTGGCAAAATTTTGAGCAAGTAATTATTGTAGTAATCATTGCTTCCTATTTTCATGTAATACAAGCACTTGCTGAGGTACTGTTTAGCTTTGTTTGGATCTCCAAGTCTGTCAACAATTTGGTTAATTATATCCGACTTTGTGATTTTGGACCTGTTTATCCAAACTGATAACAGCACCCTGCATTGTGTACGTAACACTAATTTATTGGCATGCGTTAGCATTGAAATACAAATCCTCTAAAATTATAAATCCAATTAAAAATAGATATGAACAAATTAAGAAAGAAGGATATATGAATAAAGGGTATGGTTTATATATTTGCGCGCTGGTTTCAAGGAGAATCCCAGCTCCACCAGATGCATTTCACACCCTTGAGTATGTCTGAGCCACTAGTGTTAGCATTTGGTAGGATGGGATTCTCAAATCCTAGATATTTAGCTGCAATTAATGGTTAAAGGTTAATTAGTAGAGTAGGTTAGAACAATATACGCTATTTATTTAACTTTATAGGTTTTATGCGGTCACATTACCTTTTAGAGGTTGAAAGTTGAATTAAGAGTAGAGAATGGTGCTTACAAGTAAGGTCAGCTTCCGTATTTTCATTGGTGAATCTTCCTGTTGCACCTTGTTTGTAGTCGATGCCTTATGTTGTTATAACGAATAGGTTACGGAATCGTTTAATTATTAAATAGCGATTGAGCTCAATGCACTTTTCCCTGATGCAGGTTATTTAGTCAACCATTTTTTATGTTAATCAAAGAAGTTAGATTTGATGACTCAAATTTCGATCATCGCAAATCACTTGAAACACCAGCTTGAAATGTTAATAGTCTAATTTATAGGTAACAAATTCAACACGCTAATATATATATATATATATATATATATATATATATATATATATATATATACAAAAATCTTAAAGTGCATATAAATTGAGATATGATAAAATTTAGTTTTGTTAATGTCATGAAAAAAAAACATTTATTACATTAAAATATGGAATATATAATAAATGTTCTTAATAAAACCTTTCCATCTTTAATTGTTTTAATTAAATTCTAAAACTGCTATTAATAAAGGAGAAAAGAGAAGAGGACTATCAAAAACAGAATGGGAAAGAAAAATACATTCCATTGATTTTGATTGATTAGTGTTAATTAGAGCATTTATTAGATTTGAAAATAAAGGAGAATGGGTTTTTTAAAGGAAAATGGATTGTTGCTCCTCCATTTCTATTATGATTAATCAAAGTTTTCTCTCTTCTTTTTCCCTCTTTTAACAACTCAGATGGATTAAATTTTACCAGATAGAAGAGACATAAATAGATATGTTTCACTCGTATATTGTTACAAGTTCTAATAAAAGGTTATTTATTTAATTTATTATTTGTATATTTCATCAATAGTATTTTATTTTATTTATAAGAAAAACATTAACGTACGATGAATTCAAACACTTGCAATTTTGAATGAAAACATCTTAATATTTATTTATTTATTATATATTTATTTTATTATATATTTCATTTTCTCCTTCCTCGGTTACGTGTGATGATGAGTTAAAAAAAATCTCTTACCCCATGTATGATTCCAACTAAGGAAAGCGGTAAAAACGTCACACATTTTGCGGCATGAATTTCAATAAATTTTGTCACATCTTCTTTAAAGATAGTGACATAATCGACTTGGTCTAAAAAAATATATTAACTATTTTTTTATAATTATAAAATTAAATAATTAAAAAATAATAAATAAATTTATCCTTTTTAATTTTTTTCTTGATTTAAGTTTTTTTTCCGATTTTTTCATTTTTCATTCTCTCATTTAAATATATATATATATATATATATATATATATATATATATATTAAAATGAAAATGATATTTATTATGAAGGTAATAAAAAATATAGTATATAAAGTTATTTTGATCATTTACAACTATACTATTAATTGAAATGTTATTCTATTATGAGTCATATATTAATATAAGCATTTCTTGCCATATGCATTTTGGTTCAAATGTTCTAAAATCATTTAAAAATTAATTTTAAGAATATAAACAAAATAATATATTTTACTAAAAGACATATGATCTCACAAATAATTTATTATTTTGATTCCTAATCAATTATTATAAATAAAATAATTAATTATATAATTAATTATCTTATTCATGACAAGTGATAATGAAATATATATATATATATATATATATATATATATATATGACCTATATAAATATTTAAAATATAGATAACCTATTATTGCTTGATTAGATTATTACTTAAAATAATAATTAATTTGTTTTTTATGAGTTTTCACGTTCATTAAAAGCATTAATAATTTATCACTTACTATAATTAATTATTTTGGTTTTTCAAATCTTTTAATAATAACTTCGAAGAACACAAGTTTTATACGAATAAATACTTTATTTTAAAAACTATTTTGTTATTTGTTGGTTTTTTTATTTAACTTTGAATTTTGTCACATCAAACAAAGACGATCTCATTCAATTATTTTTTTTAACACTTATATTTAGTATGGGTGTGTAATAGGTTTCTGCTTACATATGTGTTAATATTTTTTATAAATTAAATAAAATGTTTATTATTAGGTGTTGTACTGCACGCAAAATGTGTATGTGACTTACTTCAATTTGAAAATTGCGATTTTAAAATAAATTACTTAAATTTTTCATAAATGGAATGTTGAACTTAACCATATTCAATTATCATATGTGATCAAATTTATGAAAATTTAATTTACTCACATGATCACATCAATGATACTTATATACAATATGAATAGTTCATTCATTTATTGAGAAATTACATGTATCCTTCCTTACAAGTAATCTATTTGAACCTAGAATCATTATCAATGCTAAAACTCTTATTTTGAGTGTTTAATTCAAGACATAAACCTAAGAAAAGTTTTTATGCCTTATTAATTCAAAAATAACAATAACAAAGTATTTGTTAGAACTAAATTCAAATATTAAAATAACATAAAAGAAAAAATTAGGGGTGCGGATTTCATTATATCGGACAAAACCTAAGGACAATAAAGAAAAATAAAGTTTGATACAAATACTTTAATAATAAAATAAAATATTAATTACATAAATACATAGAATTCTACTTTATTATTTAAAATTTAATTAATTATCAAAATATACCTCACGTACAATAATAATAATAATAATTAAAGTAACAGTTCTAATTATATATGAAGCTAAAATTAAAAGTTTTATGATAGTCTACTGTCAGAAAATGGTTCAAGAAATTTATTTAATATTGATTAATTTAAATATAAAATATATTGAATTGTTCTATTGTTTAGGTTAACAAATTAATTTAGTTAACTTAAATTTTGAATTATAACTTAAATTGTGACTACCTCAGTTATCAAAGTGTTAACTAATTAAATTTAGAGTCTAATTTAATAATTTATAGTCTAAATTTTAGTTAATAACTAAAATCTTTGTTGAGAATAATTTATATTTTAATTTAATTAATATTTGTTTCTACCTTAATTTTTTTATAATTAATTAATATTTAATAAATTTTCTGTAATGAGTAAAGATATATTTGTTTTTTATAAGTGTAATCATTAATTTTTTATCTTTTATAAAATATTTGTTCAATTAATTAACATTTAAATTTATTTAACAAAATAAAGACCCACTTTAAGAGTTTTTTTTTCCTCATCTACCCTAACTTTTTTATATATATATAGTATCTGACATTACTGATGTGAATAACATTTTTTTAACTTCAATAGTAATTAGAATGGTTTATTGCATCGAGTCCATGTGAATATATATTGATTAACGAGGTATTGTGCAATACTGTTCATTCAAGAAAAAAAAAACGATTAAGTTTATAGACTTAATTTTACAACTCTGCTCTGCTAAAAATAATAACACATACACACTAAAGATTATTTTCTAAAATATAGGTAACAAAGTACTAAGAAATCTAAAATTCAAACAAATTAATTCTTCAAATATTTGACTCTTTCAACAAATTCTCCCTTAAATTACATGTTCATTGAAACAGTTTATCTCCAAGTCTTCAACCATGTCATCGCTTCATAGGTATTAAAATTCTTCAGTTTTAGGTGATTTTGTCATGATATCTACTAACTAATATTTGGTACTATAATAATTTAACTCAATAATATTATGATTACATAGCTCCTTCTATGTAAGATTGGGTTTTTCGATAATTTGATTATAGAAACATTATCACACAATATTGTTGTAGCTCTTTTTAATGGTGATTTAGATGTTTCAATATTTTTCTCAACCAAACACACTGGCATGCATATAATAAAGTTGCTATAAACTTTGTTTCAGTTGTAAATAGACTAACCATAGATTGTTTCTTTGATACCCAAGAGATCACACCATCTCCCAACAAGAAATTATAACCAAATGTGCTCTTTGGATTCAAGGTACCCTGCATAATCACTATCAATGTATGTTAGGAGTTCTTCCTTTCCTTCAACCTTGTAAAAAACTCCTAGATTTTGGGTGCCTGTAAATAACGTAGCACTTGTTTTGTTGTTAGAAAGTATGTTATGTTTAGGTCTAGTCTTGAAATTGTAAGATACATAAGACTCCCCACAAATTATTTGAATAACATGTTATTCTGCTTCTTTGTCAACTTTCAACAGCTTGATATCTTGAACAATGAGATTTTTCACTAGGTTGCAATTGCAACCAGTTGTTTAATGTACTTTTTCTGCTTAATAAAGACGTCGTGGTAGTCTTGCAAAACTTCTATGCTTAAAATATATCTCAACTACATAAATACAAATAATTAGAATTTTACCTCCTTATTTTGTCTTCATAAAGAGAGTGTGCTCATGTGGGCACTTTAAATTTGATGTAAGGTGTGATTCCAGCCTGTTATACTAAGCTCTAGGTTCATACTTAAGATCATATAGAGCATTTTTTAGCTTGTATACTTGATTTTCATGCCCTTTAATAAAAATTTGGTGGTTGTTTCAATTAGATATCTTCATTGATAACTCCATGCAATAAGGCTGATTTAATGTCAAGTTAGTAAATGGTTCATCTCTTTACAGCTGTCAACACAATAACAATCCATATGATTTCAAGTCGAGCTATTGGTGCAAAGATTTCTCTATAATCTATGCCTTCTACTTAAGTGTAGCCTTTAACTACCAGTTTGACTTTATATTTGTCAATCTCCCCATTTTCCTTCAGTTTTGTCTTAAAAATCAATTTGACTCCTATGACTTTGCAATTTGATGGTGGATCAATTAATTTCCATTTATCATTTCTTTGAATGACTTGTATTTTAGCATTCATTGCATCCCTTCAATTTTGACTTTTTGATGTTTGATTATATGTTACTGGATCTGCTTCTACATCATAACATTTTTTTTCCAGTAAGAGTTGTTGTAGCTTCGGGAGATACTGTAGTTGCTAGAATAGGAGATTCAATGGTTGTTACATCACTAGAATTTATTTGAATGCTTCCTATTGCTACTTGAGAAGACTCAATTGAGGAATTAATATCATCTACAACACCAAAGGTTGGATGTAACTCCTTTACATCACTCTTATTCCAAGTCATATTCTCCTACAATTTAACATCTTTACTAATTAGAATTTTTTTTTGACAAGATCATAGAATTTGTAGGCATTAGACTCATACCCAGTAACAAACACTTGATACTTTTGTTATCAAACTTGCTTATTTGTTGGTCGAGTACATGAACATATCCTATGCAACCACATCGTTTTGTTGTCGAATATATGAAATTGTTAGTTGTCGTTTAATACCCTGCTTATTACATAAATCAGTAAACTCTTTAGAGGGATATTCTCCCCCTTTGTCAATACGCAATGTTTTAATAGAAAGCTTATTTTTCAACCAATACTTTAAACTCCTTAAATATACTGAATGTTTTACTTTTTTTCCACAAGAAAATACACCCATATTTTCCTACTCAAATCATCAATAAAAGTTAGCATGTACCTTTTATTTTCATTTGATATAGGAATTAATTGTAATAACTTAGAGGCTCGCAAATTACTTTGCTGTGAAAAAGAGTTTATTTGATGTTTTCCTTTTAGATAATGTTCACAAAGTTGAGTCGATGACTTGAAAGAGGATATCCCTTTCATCATATCATGCTTTAATAGAGTTTTTGTATAGCTTAAGTGGTCATAGTGAGAGTGCCAAACTTGAGCTGGTGGTACTGAACTGACTTGAAAATATGGTTGAAAATTTCCAAATTTGACATATACAACAAACATGCGGTTAATGGTCACAGAGGTGTCAAAAATAATGTCATTCTCATGAAATACTCTACATTTATTTTGCTTTACTTCAATAGTCAGACCTTTCTGCTGAAACTATCCCATACTAAACAAGTTATTTTTTAACTTAGGCACATAAAATACATCCCTGATTAGATACACAACTTCATTAATTAGGAGTTTGACAATACATTTCCCAATCATCTTTAGTGAATGATTATTCCCTAATTTCACATCATCATCAAAGGAAGTATCAATAAAAGAAAACCAATTCTTTCTACCTGTCACATAGTTGTTGCAACCTAAATCAATGAACCACATGTCTTGTGTACTTGATTCTTCATTTGAGATCAATCGTGACTTTAGTAGCATTACCCCCTCATCAGACTCAACATAGTTTGCATTATTGTCCTATAGTTTTTTTTTGGACATTCATATTGAAAATGTCCAAAGTCATAACAATAATAACACTCTATTATCGCCTTGTCTAATCTTCCTCCTTTGTCTCTCCCTCTTCCACATGCAAATCCACCTCGGGAACCACTTCTTTCGCGGCCACACTCACCAGTAGTCTTAATGTGCAACCTTTAGCACTTATCCGAATTGTGGTCATTCATTAGTTGCTCGTGTACTAACATATTGTTTTGCAACTCATCTTTAGTCATAGAATCCAGCCATGAGATTCTTCAATGGAACTCATTACATAATCATACCTGGAGTCATCAAATAGAGAATCTTTTCAATGATGACAAGATTCGACATCTATTCTCCATATATTCTCATCCTATTTGAGATAGTGAGAGTTCGAGCAAAATACTCGTCAATGGATTTGTCATTCTTCATCTACAATATTTCTATTTAAAGGAGTTCAGGATCTCCTTCGAAGTTTCCTTCTTCAAAATCGTCTCAAGCCCACTCGATCAATTACTTGAAGTAAATAATTTTTTACCTTTAAATCTTTCAACTTGAAGTCTTCCAAAGTTTTCTTCTCATTCTCTGTCAATACATGGATCTATGAGATTCCATTACTCTTTTAGACTAAGAAAATTTTCCATGAACAATGTCCAATGTTCATAATGCTTATTCAGTTGAGCAATCGCATGTCGCACAAAGTTGTTATCTGTGATCATGGGTGAAGTTTGTTACTTCTCATAACCCACCTGGCTCTTGATACCAGATATTGATTAGCAGATAAAAAGTAAAAAATTGTTTTATAATTGTAATTAGAAGTAGTCGTGCAATACTGTTTATTCAGAAAAAAGAAATTATCAAATTTATAGACTTATAGTCTTGCAACTGTTTTGCTAAAAATACACTAAAGATTATTTTCTAAAATTCAGATAACAAAGCACCACAAAATCTAAAACAAAAATAAATTAACTTTTAAAATATTTTGATTAATTTCAACCATAGGATCACCTTATTTATTATCTTTATCAACCACTATAATTACTGATAATGTTGTTGAAAGTATTTTTATCAATTTGTATAAAGGAAAGATTTAGAACATTATTGAATTAATATGCTTTTTATATTTACTCAGCACTTATTTAGGTATAAATATATATAATGATGAAAATTACATGAGAAATACATTTTTTTAACATGATTTTATTTTTGATTGATTAAATTTTATTGAAATTACAAAACTATGAAATGAGGTTCATGGTATAAGAACGTTAATTAGTGCGCTAAAAGAGTCCGGGGTGAGAAATAGGAAAAGGATACTGTATATGAGGTTTTTAGGTAATAAAAAAAATGGTGAATTAACTAAGCAGAGAGAATATATGTTACCAATTATATCTATTTGCGTTTGTCCATTGTTAAATCTACAGTTGGGCCTAGTGGATTTTGATATTGTTGGAAGGTTGTAGTTATTTCCATTGTCAGATAGATTGCCCCCATAGACAAACAAACTAAGCAGAGAGAATATATGTTACCAATCATCCTCCTCACTAATTTATGAACAAAAGATAATTTTTTTATAAAAATTGACTTATTTTGATAAATTTTTCCACAATCACTTCCAGCACATAAAAATAAGAAAAATAAATTTCTCCATGAACTTAGATTAGTGTATAATAAATTAAAAAATAATTATGAAAAAACTAATAGAAGATATCTTCAACAAATCAGATAAGCTAGTTTTAATTATTTTAAAAACTCTTTCATTTTCTTTTCCTATATTCTTCTTCTAAATTTTTTTATGCAAAAGTTCTTTCAAGCATGCTCAATTTCTCACGCTATCATCACTTCAAGAGTTTTTCTTCTTCAAGAGAATCCAAAATGGAGTTTGTTCTTGGGAAAGTATTCTAAATAAGTATTTGAATATGGTTCTCCTGACTACATGCTTATATTAGGCTATCATCTAAAATTAATGTTGAACAATTTATAATTTGCAAGAAAAGAATTCAGAAATTGGAATCTATTATCTAAGAGTACATAAAATTAATACAGAAGTTCAAAGAGAAATTTTATCAAACATTTTGAGAGCAAAATACATATTTTACATGACATGAATTATGTTAGGTGTGTCACTTAAAAGTGCCGTGGATGTAATATAAATGAATCTTCTCTATTCAACATTACAATGTGGCCGGCCACCTTTAACTTGTGAAAATACTCGAACTATAATCCCTCGTATGGAAGAATCTAAATAATGTGATTTCTCTCGTAATTCCTTTCTAAATATGAACGCGTAGGTGAAGGAAAAGACAGTTTTCTTCACGACGTTTTATAGTTTAAAAGCATATTTTATCTTAAACAAAATTTAATATTTAATATATACTTCCTCCTCATTTAACAAAAATACGAGTATTTTTCATAAGCTTTACGCGGTACATTGCATAGAAAAATTATATCGAAAAATAATGAAAATTTAAAAAGTATTTTAACTGATCATGCTTTTAACAATGACATAAAAATATGTTTTTATGAACTAACTTAATGAGATATTTGGTATGTATACAAATAAATATTCTTCTGAAAAGGTGTTAGAGTATTATCATTACAACACATATTTAACTAACAAAAAATGAATACCAAATATTTTTAGACAGAAAGTAATTGATTTAGTTTTAAGAAGAAGTAGGAAAGGAAATAATTTCTTGTCATTTTATTCATTTTGGATGAAAATACACATCATCATTGGCTCACAAGTAGTACTCACTACCAATATGCAAACCTTATAACCAAAATTTTGATGGAAAATTACACTTAGACTTTGTGAACATAAACATAAAAGACATAAATAAGAAAGAGGTGCTATGACCACACAAACATTACAATAACAGTAACAGCTTATGTCATTACTTTAGATCCTCTTTAGATCTGAGCTAAGCGATTGATGTCAATAGGATAAGCATCTGATGCAGATTGAGCATTGTAAGCTCTCCTAGCAATGATAGCATTGGCAGACTCAGTTGGATGAAATGCATCCCAAAACACGTACTCCTTCCTGTTCCTGCATGGGGGTTGCAGCGGCAGACATGTAATTTGACCATTGTTCCTTCCCACCCCACAGCATCCAGCGTTTGTCACTCTAAACCCTGTAAATTCAAGACCACAGAGAATAAAATGAGAATGAACTATGTCAAAATCTGATTCTCAACATAAAAACAAATGTTTAGGCAGAACAGAAAATAATTACCAAAGGAAGATGGGTTGGTTATGATATCTTGAAAGATACCATAAACATTTACATAGATGAATCTGGCATCAGGAAACTGGTTGTTGAATTGATCAACAAGAGCTCTCAATCCGTTGTTGAATAATTGGTTTGCAGAATTGATTCTTCCCACACATGTTCTACCATCTGGGCTGTTTTGGGCCAATGCATTAGGGCTGCAACCTATTTGACCAACTCCAAATAACGCCATTTTCCTTGCCCCATAGTTGTACAAAATCTGAATCACAAGCATAAACAACTTACTTTTTAAACTGTGAACCTAATTTGAGCTCTAATCTACACAACGTCATACCATAATCATTTGATTTCTTCTGTTGGTTTATATTTATTACTAGTACTAGTACTTCTAGATTGAGTTTATTTCAACAATTAAATAAGTTAGTCTACAGATTAAATTAGTTTATACGCAGCTAAAAAAAATAAGAGCTTAAAAAGCTACATAAAAATAATTACTAATTAATTGATAATTTTAACTTATTTGAAAAAAAAAATCAGAAATAATTGTTCAAATAGGCATTTTATAAAAAAAAATGGCTTATTGGAGCTATGAATAAAAATTATGAAAAGCTAATATAGAAAACGTTGAAAGCAAGAGGGGAGAAGGAGATGCAAACCCTGAGTTGTTGAGCATATGCTTGAATAAGAACATTAGCGTACTGCTGTGGTGTGAACTGCCTGCTGCTGGAATAGACTAAAGGCATGAAATAGTTGTTTAGGTAATCATTGCTACCCAATCCAATTGAATAGATGCACTTGCTAAGGTAATTTTTAGCAGTATTCTCATCTCCCAGTAAATTCACAATCTGGGACACCGTTCTTTGGTAATTTTGCACCTGCCCTCTAAAACTGATACGATCACCCTACAAATAAAGTAGAAAAGTTATAGCACTTAACCATATGGTTGTCAAATTAACGAAGAAAAAAGAAGTTATGCGCCAAAGAAGTCAAAATAAATGAATAAATAAGCACCAGTTGCTGTCCTGTTTCCTCTCTAATGCCGGCAGCTGCAGATGCATAATTAACTCCATTAAGGATGGCTCGGCCTCTAGCTGTTGCATAGGGACTTATGTAACCGTTGAACCCCAAAAGCTCAGCTGTTAAATTTCAACAAAAAGCATTAGATAAGAGTAAGAGATTTCATATATGCTTTACACATATATGGAACTGTTAAAGAATCAATTTCATGCAGTCCTACTTTCCTCTCTTCTTGTTTCTTTTTATTAACATTTGGCTTATTTTTTTAGCTGGTTCTCTTTCCTTCTTTACTTTCCTCTTACCCCCAGTTAGGTCTTAGTCCACGGACTACACCAGAACCAGACTGTCTTAAATTGAAAATTCAATGCAGCCAAACCACCCCATGTGCTTGATATTTGAGGGGTAGACAAATAACTAAAGTCAAAGTGGAGTCGTAACATGTGCACAGTTTAAAAAACTGTCTTTTGTCCCTGAAATTATAACTATTTTTCATTTATAATCTTCTGTTTTTATTATAAGCTTTAACTCTAAGTTTGGACCATGTAAATATTCGTTCACTTTAATTTTCTTATCAATGAAAAACATAGCAATAAAAGAGTTTAATTGTTAGGAAAACAAATAATTAAAGTTTATAACGAAAATGAAAATAAATAACGTTGTACAAAACCACAAATTTAAACTAGAGTTTTGGAATGTAAGGAATAAAGTGACCACAGATACTTACCAAGTTCTAGTTTGTTTGTGATTTATGTGTGCTACTTTTTTTCGTTTTATATATTTTCATTGGCAAGTGATGTCTGAAAAAGATAGATCGTGCGTCTTAAAGCCGTCCCTTAATTAAAAGGAAAAATTTGGTGTATTGGGAAAAATATCGTATAATTGTCGTCCAATTGGCCATTAAAAGTAATCTATGATTGATTACAAATGCATACGTGTTTGTATAAGTTGCATTGAATTTACATATATTGATCAGTTGAAAAACGGGAAAAATATATTAACTGAAAAAATCAACATGTTGCATGCCTCAAGCAATATAATAAATGTAAAACCATAAGTTGGGTAAAGACTAAAGAGAAGATTATGGTAACATCATATTCTGCTTAAGTAGCATGCAAGGTTGATAAACTTAAAACTTGTTTGAACTTTAACAACTTACTAGTATTATATAAACTAAAACAAAATGATTATTTTTGAGAAATTAACAGACTCACCAACAACATCAACAGTAGTTTTCCCATTGGAAAACCTTCCAGTTGGGCCAGCAGAGAAGTCAATCCCATAAGGGAGGTAATTAGCTTTGGCTAATGAGTTGAGCTGGTTGTTGTTCCCATTATCCACCAAAGAGTCTCCAAAAATAAAGTAGCAAGGTACTTGTTGTGCAGATCCAACCCCAATATTACTCCATAGACTCAGACCTATTATCACTAACCCTATATTTATAATGAGCTTCCCAGATGCCATTGACACTAGAATGAAGCTACGGATTACAAACTATGTGCTTTGGGGTAATGAGTGGATGAGGAACTTCTGAATGAACAAAACTATATATAGTAGTGGAAGGAAGAGAAAAGACCAACCTTGTAGTCTTTTACAGTTGGGATATTATTGGTATGAGCATTAAATCCACGCGGATATAATGTGAAATGCAATGACGACAATCCCGGCTTTATCAGTGTACCACTATCATCATCTCTTTCTCTACTCTTTAATGTGGAATTAATTGCGTTTTTGCAGTGATGCGAACTCAGGCATTGCTAGATAACCATAAATCTTTTGCAAAATTGTTTTACAGGAAAGAAAAGGTCAGTAGATGGCTTATGAATGATATTTTCGCAGTTAATGTCCACTTGTCACTTGCCCATGTTCACATATACACTGTTTCAGCTGCCTAGTTCATGATTGGAATAGTGAATATCACATTTTATCATATTTATTGGTCATGCTGCGGCATGAACATTTTTAATGAAAGGGTGGGAAAAATAAGGTAGCAATATGATAATATTTCAATCAATAGTGATCAGGGATATGCTAATTGAAGACTAAACGTGTCAAAGAAAATTATTCTTTCCAATGGCTACCTGCACAAGAGATCTATTCAACTTTTTTTAATTAGGACTTCAAAACAAGCGTTACACAATTGTCCATAAATTTATTTGAATCTAAACTGCTAGTAAATTTTACACTAATGTTTTCGTGATTACATCTGCACTATGCATTCATGATGAGTGAACTACATGCACAAACGCATTTAATTGTTGAAAATTTAAATCTAAATTTGTCTGCAACTCTAAGATTTAAATCTAAAATCTCATCTATGGTTTAAAAATATTTGGATTTAAATAATATAACATGATTTAAATTTAAAAATATATTTATTTTTTATTTAAAATATTTCTTCTATTTCTATTATTTATAAAATTTATATAAAATAATAATTGGTATAAATAAAATAAATAAATAATATAAAATAATATAAATATATAATAATAAATAAATTATTAGTTTTTAAATAATATATTATTTAATACAATTAATTTAATTATTTAAAAAACTAAAATCAAAATTGTATTAATTACTTTGATTTTATATATAAAAAAATTCAGATGATATTTTATTATAAAATCATTTTACATTATATTATTTCTTTGTTTAAAATTAAAAAATTTAATCCATATCTATAAAATTCAAATATTTTTAATCAGAAAAAAGAAAAGAGCCTCGAAGTTTATTTTAATGTATGGTCCAAATTGTGTATGCAATAGTACGTTGTATTGGATAAAAAGAAAGTAAATTCAGGCATGGCCTTATACGAAGCGAGTCTCTTTCCTATTTAAGGGCATTCAATATAAGGTCTAAACTTGTCTCTGGTTTATTGGCTGAGTTTAATCGAAACTACTCTTCACAGAAGATATATGATAATGTGAAACTCAAATCCACGTCAATCATTTTCTCCTTCCGTCATCGCTGTTTTTCTTTCGTTTTTTTTTTTTATAGAACTGTCTGGATCTAACTGGGTTACTTCCTCAGAAATGAAAATAGAAATAACATTGAGAATCATAAAGCATAGTTTATATCTATCCCTAGACCCTCTTCCCTGGCACTTTGCATGCGTTTACTTTTTCTCTTCTGCTAGCTATTAGTAATTTGCAGATAATATGGAGACAGTGAGTACCAAACAATTTTGAATTTTCGATTGTGAAATTAATGTTCACAAGAAAATGAAATGAATGCAATGGAGGACATGTCCCTAATCTACGCCACGTTTCAAAACATTTATCCAGAAGGATGATTGAAAATAAATTACTCACTCATGTCCTTATCGTATTATAAAGCACTTTTTTTTTAAATTGTTGATTTTCTTATAAAACATTTTTAATAAATTATTTATTTTTTTACCTTGATTAAATATTATCAGTATTTTTTTTTGTTAAAGATTATTTTTTTTGTTTTGTTTTTATTGGTTTGTGTGATTATATTAAAACTAAAAGTTTTATATTAAAGAGAGAGAGTAATTTTACCAGATAAAATGAACGAACATTTTGACACTTAGTTCTTTTAATAAACTTACCTCTATTATATTTATATTTTCAAGTTTTGCTACTAAGTTTTCAAATATATTAAATAATAAGTTTTTAATATTTTTATTATATGCCTATAATAAATTAAAAAATAATTAACCAGTATATTCTTTTGTATTCTTAAAATGAAACAAATATTTTGCTTTATATTTAAATCTTTAATATTTCTTTAATGAGACACATTTCTCAATTATAAACTTACAAATTTAAATAAAATGGTTTAATAGGATTGAACAAAGTTGACTTATTTTTCAGCCTTTTCCTTCTATGTTTTGTCTTGCTTATTAACATGGTTGGAACAAAAAGATCCGAATATGTAACATGAAATTGATTATTCTAAATCTAATTTATGAGTTTACACAGTTGTCAATAAGTTTAAGTAAACAATAAAAAATATGTTAACAGTAGGAGTATTTGCTTAGAAAAAATAGAACGAGAGTAGGTAGTTTGATGGCTTTGAGATGGTCGGTGGATGGCTTGGAAGTTGTCAACTAAACATAAATGTCAGTAGACACTAAAATTTAATGATTTTCTGGCTTTCATACCGACTAACATAATAACCAGCTTAGATTTTCAACAGTCACTAGTAATACATAATTGTTCATTTAAAGCAAAAAGTCCAAAAATCATTGGTCAAGTTAGCTATGTATGTAGGTTTGAGCAAGTTGTCTTTGACATTTGCGTCGGTGTCTGCACTGGTCAATGTAAAATATTGCTGCATCTTACTAAGATGAGGATCCTCTGCACTTTACAGCTAATAGTGATCCAGTGGTATCAACATTTCCATTTTCTGTTCAGCCAATATTTATGGCACAGTTGACATTAGAACAACTAAATGACTAAAATCAAAGTCAGAAAATGAGAACACATATCTTCTTTGTTTAAACTGGCAAAAGGTATGATTGCCAATGATGCCTCGTTAGCTTCTGCTATATGATCGATGGTTTTCCACACAAAAATCTTAAGAGAAATGGCATGACCCATTTTCTCACATACCATCTGTCAACATCTTCCCTGCCATTTTCTTACGTCAAATATCTTCCTATTTTACACACAATTACAAGCAAGTAGAGAAGATATGGAGAAAGAATTATTTAGAAAAAGAAGACTTAAGCTGCTTGGAAATAAGTATCTTTATGCGCTGACAAATGCCTCGTTATTTCTTCCCGCGTCTTTGCTAATAAAATGTTTCATGTTCCTTTTTAAGAGAAAAGTTTAAACCATTAAACCCAAACAAAGCTTCTCACTCTTTCCATTCTCCATGGAACTTTTTAAATCCTTTTCAATTTCATCATTCAATCAATATATTAAAAAACTAACCAATAACAAATACAATATATACTACAAATTAAAAACAAACATAAAGGAACATATAATCAAAACTAAACTACAAATAGGCACTATTAAAGTTAAAAAAAAAAAATAACAATTTCATGAAATAAACTTAAAGAGAGTAATTATTGTTTGATTTCCATATTTGTTCCTAGGACTTGCTAAAGTGATGGCTGTGTTTTTTGTTTTAAAAGCATGGATTGTATCGACCACTGTTTCAAAATCGAACTCGAAGTGAGTTCAATATGTCTCATCGGGAATTAGTCATAAAAATCAGTTCATTATTTTTAAATAATTAAATTATAATAAAACTAAAAAAATAATTAAATTATAATAAAACTAAAAAAATTATAACAACTGATTAAATTTTTTGGTTGATTTTAATAAAATAAAATAAAATAAAATTATTTTTAATCTAACTTTTTTATAAAAATATTATATATTTTAATTATGTTCTTTTTTATTTTATATTATTTATATCAACTCTAAATAATAATTGTTTTTATATTTTTTTATCTTATTTTAATAATTATCTATTTTATATTTTTTTATTTTATATTATAATTTAGAGGTCATAATAATAAATTTTATTAATTTTTTTATAAAAAAGTATTATTATTAATAAACTTTTATATATTTATTATATTATAAAAATATTAATTTATTAAATTTAGTTTAACTTTTTTAAATCCTCTGTGAATATTTTCACTGTTGAATTACCAGTTCAGTTAATTTGAAAATATATAGAAACTAGATCAAGACTAAACATGTAACCACTACTAAGAAAAAACACATTTAGCGGCCAAATTTTTCGGTCGTAATTAGTGACCGATTTAATTCGATCAGCAATTAGCAATCGATTTAATTGATCGTAATTAGTAATCGATTTAATTCGGTCGCTAATTAGTAATCGATTTAATTCGGTCAGCTATTAGCAACAGATTTAGCGATCGAATTAATTCGGTCACAATTTAGCGACCAATTTAGCCATAGATATATAATTTGGCTTCACATTTTTTAGTTAGCGGCCGAAATAGCGACCAATAGTTTGCGTCGCAAAATTTCGATCGCTAAATCGGTGGCTATTCCACACTAAAATAAAAAAATCATTTAACGATCGATTTAGCGATCGAATTACAAATTGAAATAGTGACCGAATTAAAATCGGTCGCTAATTAGAAAATAGCGATCAATTGAAATCGGTCGTTAATGAAGATTATTTTTTTATTATATTTAAATTTATTTTTTTATAAATATACTTTAATTGTTTTAGTATATTTTTTACAATTTATTTTTTAAAAGTAATTTATTTTTTAAAAATAATTTAATTTTTAAAATATACTTTAAAAATAAACTTTGGTCTCAATATTAACAAAATGAAGATTAACTTTAATTTTAAATTACTAAAATAAAAATATTATTAAAAATAAATCAAATTTATTAAAAATTTAAATTGTAATAAATTAAGACTAGAGTAATATTAACTATTCAATACATTGTTTAAGAAAAGTTTAATAATAAATATTCTTTAATTTATTTTTCAATTGAAAA